TGGCCAGCGCCTGATTTGGCGCCGCGGATACTCCCAGAGGCAATCGGAGGGGGACTGGGCTCTGTGACAAGGAAGGAAATGCTCCGTGGGGAGCTGAGCTCTGTCCGGGAAGGCCGACGGACATCCTGCTGGGCAGCACCGATAACCCCCTCACCTGCCCGCTCATTGCCTCTCGGCCTTCATTTTTACCTCTGTAGCGGGGAAATTGTTCCCATGTTGTCGTTGTTCCCATGTTACGTGTCGGCCGAGCTCTGCTTGGTTAGAAATGGTTATGAATGAAGCAAGCAAGGGTGGTTTTTCCCCCCTTAAATCCCGCTTTCTCTCCCCGCCGCCTGCCTGCGTGACCTCTCTGCTTGTGAAAACACCCACAGGTTTCTCCGGCGGTGTCCGTGTCCCTTCTCCATGGTCAGAGAGCCCGACGGAACTGAGCCACGCACCCTCCGCTGCCGTCAGAAACGGCTCTGAGCAGACGGGCATCCGTCACCATTTGCTTCCCCGAGCTTTGGGGGCGCGACCCCTCCCGCTTTCCCTTTTTCCCTCCCGGGTTCCTGGGATGTGGCGATGGTAGGACAGTCGGGCCACGTGCCGCAGGGAGGCAGGCTGGGTGCCTCTGCCGCGCCGCTCAGAAAGATCAGATGAGTTCATTACAACCGTGTTTGGGTGTTAGAACGTTTTTGCAACAGTTCAGCTCTTGCTTTAAGAGTTCTTCTGGTGATAGCAGGGGATTCACTGCGACGTTTGTCTGCTGCGCCTCAGCTGCAGTCGGTGGCACCCCACAGTCACTGAAAGCACCTTGCTGAGGCTGGATGCCTTGTTATTTCCAGCTGCGCTCCCAACTCATCTGTCCTGCTGCTGCTGCTTAGATCTGAAATGCCACTTCATTCTCTACAGTCCTAAATCCCAGCCGCTGCTTGAAGCAGGGAGCGCTCCTCGGCCAGCATGTGTTGGCAGGCTCCACCAGGCTCCACGCTGGGTGACGCCAATGCAATTTGCCGCAGCTGGAGACCTCTTCCCACCCCTCTGGCATCTTTTCGTGCCAGACAGAAGGGTGAGGCGCCGCATCAGCTGGTGCTTCTGAGGGAAGCTGTGGCCTAGGGCCAACCTGTCCCTTTTGCTTATGGGGCAGGAGCCACTGCAAGAGGGAGGGTGTCCTTACAGGGGCCACAGACTACCTGCTTGAGTCCAGTGGGATCAGACATCATAGAATCATAGAATGGTTTAGGTTGGAAAGGACCTTGAAGATCATCGAGTTCCACCCCCCCTGCCATGGGCAGGGACACCTCCCACCAGCCCAGGTTGCCCAAGGCCACATCCAGCCTGGCCTGGAACACCTCCAGGGATGGGGCCGCCACAACCTCTCTGGGCAACCTGTTCCAGTGCCTCACCACCCTCAAAGTGAAAAACTTCTTCCTAATGTTTAATCTAAACCTGCCCTCTTCCAGTTTATAGCCATCCCCCCTCCTCCTGTCACTACATGCCCTAGTAAAAATTCCTTCCCCAGCTCTCCTGTAGGCCCCCTTTAGGGACTGGAAGGCGGCAATAAGATCTCTTTTGTGCCTCCTCTTCTCCAGGCCGAGGCAGGCAAGTGTCTTCTGGAATGCTGAAGGCTGCCTGGCTCAGGGGAAAAGCTGCGGTTTGTGTCAGACCCGGGGCAGGTTGGTTGTGGTCATAAGCTGTGCCCCAAGGAGAGTGTATGAAGTAAAGTTTAAATTGAGAGGGCCCCGTCGGGCTCCAGATGTGGGAGGCCCATGTACACAAGTCCCTTACTGATATAGTCCTGTTGCAGTCACTGCTAACGTCTGGGAAGAAGAGCTAAGCCTCAAACTTTCCAGGATGTCTCTAAGAGAGTAAAAAAACAGTAGTGGAGCCTGGACATTTCCCCCCCTCTCCTCAAACATGAGGCTTTTATGCTGTGCTTCACAGAAAAACAGAAAATGCATCTTTCCAGCATGATGTTGACAGTCTGAAGACTTGTCTGCTTCCACACTCTCTTCCTCTTTAACACCTCCCAAGCGCAGCTATCCATCCCCCAGTCCCTCCTGACTGCAGCCAGCATCTCTTGGGTACCACTTCCTTGCGGGCATCCCAGGTCAACCCCTGTCTGTTCTGGGATGCCTTTTGCTGGTCGCTCCCCATTCAGCTGAGCAAGCCCAGCTCTGCCCTCCCAAGTACCCAGCACCCTGGCTTAAGGAGGGGCACCCGCGCAGGTTGAGACCCTCTGCGCTGCGTCCCTCGTTTGTCTGTAAGCGGCTGCACAGCCCGAGACTGCCTTTTATAGCAGCCACCTCCCTGGTGTCACGCCGAGGAGCCAGTGACAGCTCACGCTGGCATTTGATCTGCAAAGAACGCAGAAGGCAAAAGTGCCTTTTTTGGGGAAATGATGCCCCAGGGCAGCGGTGGCACATCTCCATCTCCTCTGCAAGTGCCATGGCTCAGCCAGAGCTGCCACTGGCCAACATGGGCTGCTTGGGAGAAGTTAGTGATAGCCAGGTTCCTGCCTGCAATTTTGCATTAGTCAGAGCATTGTTTCTCCTGCTGCAGCGCAGGCCTTTTCTGGGAAGGTTTTGTCTTTACAGGAAAGGCACGAGCATAGCACGAGAGGAAAAACGAGTATATCATGAGAGGAAAAACACTGATTGCCTTTGCTCAGCAGCCCAGAAGTAAGCATTTCTCCATGTTTCTACGTCTCTCTGTGGAAATACTCATCTGTGTATTTCAGAGAAAAGCAGTATCCTTTTGGAAGGGGCAAGGGGAAGGGAAGAACTCAGGCTGCCATGTGATAGATAATATTTTACGAGTGCTGCTGGCCATCAGTGGTCTCCGGAGGATCCGGGACAGGGGTGCTGGTACTGGGAGATGCTGAGCAGAGCTGATTACCCAGAGAAGAAAGGGTGGGCAGGAGCCGAGCAGATGGTGAAAAGGATGGGGAGAAGGAGGGCAGGTGACAAGGACTAGCTGTGGGAAAGGGTGCAATTCCCAGGACTGGGAGGGGAGAGCAGTGCTGGTTTTGGTTACCTGGTATGGGAACGCCTCGTCTTCCTCTCCGGCAGGCATTGCTCAGGGACACACTGCTGTCAAGTACCAACCACTTTTCCCAGCTGGTCGCTTGTGCAATGTCCTCCTCAACCTGACAAAGATGATCCACCAGGACGAATGGCATCTGCTCCCACAGCTTGTGCTCTCCCTTCCACGTGAAAAACACAGCAATGAGACACTAGTTTGCAGAGAGGGGGCTGAGGAGGCAGGATCCCACTGGGGCCCAGCCATCAGCAATTTTCACCCTCATTTTTACTTGCAGGCTGCTACGGTCGCTCCAGGAAAGTGTGAGCACCACACACACACGGGTTTTTCAATCTTGTTGAATGTAACCTGCTCTTAGCCACCTTTCATAGGCAGATCAACTCCCCTCACCTCTCCAGGGGTCTGCAGACACCAGCTTGAAAAACCATGTTCTGGTGTCACTGGAAAAGGTCCAGCAGGAGACATGTCAGCAGCTGACAACAGAAGCCATGTGCTAAACGGTTATGGCAGAACCTGTCTGTGTAGAAACTCGCTGGCATTTAGAAACTGGAGCATTTCTGTCCATCCAGAGTTCCTTTCAATTTAAGCTCGAGAAGGAAATAGAGAAGAGCGTATCGCTGTGGCTCTGCATAAAAACGTGCTTCACCCGCATCCTGAAAGTCGTATGGCTGCAGCTGTGTGATTATATAGTTCAGATGAAAGTGGGAAGTTTGTAGCACAACTGCAAATCCACTAGTTTGTAGCAGCCTTGCTACAGGATCACTTTCTACTTGCAGGTACTTGCTCATGGGTCTGGCATTACACCCGTACTGTGGGTCCACCTGGCATGGGCCAGCTGCAGTCGTGGCTATTTCTAGGTGTCCCTCCACTTCCTCCTGCAGCGGAAGGCTCATCCCTCCCTGGTAACACCCGCCCTTAATTTCTCAGGTTTGGGGGAAACAGATTTGAGAAGGATGACAGCCAGAGTCCTGGGCATGGCTGCGGCTGTTCTCTGCGGGTACATCGTGGCAGCAGTCAGCTTCTTTTGAGAGGAAAGCCTCACCCAGCATGTTGCAGGTCTGCTGTTCCTGAGGACAGGTAACGCATCATTCTAGCACGCTAATTAAGGGTGAAGGCTTCACCAGGTTTTCCTTGGGCGGGCAGCATGCACTGCCAGTAAGTGAAGCACGCCTTGCCTTCTGATCTCCAGTTACTGTGCATTGCATGAGGCAAGTCGCTTACTCATTCAAGTGGAATAACCAATAATTAGAAACAAAAAACCTGTGAAGAATGCTCTAGGTCTGAGGAAAGGACCACTGGGCTAAAACAACCGCTCCCTCCGTTTTACGTACAAAGCAAATGCTTCTCCAGGACAGAACAGTCCCTTGCTGCAGTTTGCAGTCCTTGATGGTGGAGGAGATATCTCTTTAACACTGAAGTAGGAAAGGGGAATACTTTAAAAAAAAAAAAATAATAATCTTAGTCATAAAATTAGAGGTTGTTTAGAGGGGGAGGAAAGGTAAAATCCACAAACACAAAGCCAGCATGAGTTTGAACCATCCAAAGTCACAAGGCTAAGCACAACACCTTCTCTTGTGCCAGAGGAGATATTTTGATTTGAGTAGCTGTAATGCATGACACAGCTATATTTTTTTTAATACATTTGGAAAGCACAGGCCTGAGGAAAGGCTCATTGTGCATGGCTAATTTAGCAGCTTAATGAAAAACATTGCCTGATGAAAAACGCTGAAGGAAGCGTTAGCCAACAGAAACACTAGGCTGGGAGAAGGATGCCGGCGGAGAGCTGGGGAGCAATTTAGCCTGAGTGGTTCCTCTGCAGAGGTATGTGGAAGGCCACCCACGGAGGTAGATTACCTGCTCAGTAACCTCCCGATCAGATTACATGCAGCACACACAAACCAATTTTCCCCAGGCTGCTCCAAGGTGGCTCTGCTCCCACAGAGGGGCTTCAGCATCTCAACGCCAGCTTGCGCGGTGTGATTGCATCCCGTGGGTCAAATCTGATCACAGACCTGCTCTGTTTGAAGGGGAGGCAAGACTGAAGACACTGGGGAGTCTCTCTTAGCCTCAAAAGTAGCAAATGAGAAGTTTGCTGGATGCAGTTCGCAACCACAGAGCTAAGGCTTCGCCTTGCATAACTGGGTAATACGCAAAATCTTTCTGAATGCCAGTAATTATCACCTGTGTGCTACCCAAGGTAACTTATACCAACAAAGCTGGGTGCAAGTTATTTCGTTAGTAAGGCCTAACATTTATTTTTTTATTCATGCTGTGCTACATGTCGAAATAACAATGTGATTTTTTTCATTTACAGGAATATTTTGCACTATATCTCTGTGTGCTTTTTCAGCTAGCATATCATATGACCTAAATCACCTCTCCACATCTGTCTATAATCTTCTCGACGATGTAGAACATGGGTACCGCTGATCTGTATTTTGTGTTTGGTGCAGTCTGGCATTTACAGTAGCGGTTGGGTGTCCTTGCACAGCTTACCTGTTTGTTCGCAGGGACAACATTATGCAGCTGAAGTCCACCAGAGACGACTCCGTGCGACTGCCCACCTGCCACAACACCATTCAGTGATGGCCCAACAGAATTTTTCAGGACTTACGCGAAGAAGCAGAAGGGAAGGGAAAACTAAACTCAGGATTCCAAACACAAAAGTCTGCTTCTTCAAAACCTGACCATCGCATTTTACGGGTTCAGCAAGCTCTTCTCTCATGCTGCCTGGCAGAGATTTGAGAAGACAGCTCTCAGAGGACAGAGCTGGCTCAGGATCAGATGCTTCAGTTCTGCATGCCAAGTCCATGCAGAAGATACCTGCACTGGAAGGTAAAAAGAGGGAGGAAAGTTGTTGTAAGAATTAAGAGCTACTTCTATTTTTCAAGGATCTGTACATAAAGAAATTAAGGAAAAGTCACTGTTGCCAAATGAATCCTAATCAGCATTATACCCCCTTCCCCAGGGCTTCATGGGTAACGTTTTAATTCAGCACCTTCTGCACTTGACCCTAAAGGGAAGTTTTGGTGCCCGTACCCTCCCAAAATGGCCAAACAGAGCTTTTTCTTTTAAATCAGCATGTACTTGTGTCTCCTTGTGTATCCTTTGTACATGAAGTTCCCATGTAATTAGTATATAACTGAGATTTCCATTCTGAGCACCTGAGCTGCACTGTGAGAAAGATTAAATTCCTCCTGTCCGTTCCTGGATGGTCTTTTGGTTATGAGGCATTTGTCAATCTACAGTACCTGTAATGAGCCTGTGTGAAAAGCATTTGTGTCAACTGCAACTTCATGGCTTGGAAATGGTGTTTCCTGGAAAGCAGAGAAAGTTCACGAAGCAGGAGGGTCATAGCCTGGACAGGGCTTGGACCAAGCATCCCTACGGGGCAGTGCAGCATGCTGGAGTTAGAGCCTCAGAGAACCTCCTGCTTGGGCCAAGAAGTCACCCATGGCAAGAGAGGGATGGGGAGATGCTAGAAGGTGAGCGGCTTTGCAGTTTCTAGTGCTTAATGGCAGGGACGTGCGAGTTAAGAGATGAGAGCGCCATGCTGATCTGTCAGAAAGCACTCAAACTGACAGAGACAGTCCCCACAACTAAGAGACTTCAGTGCTGTGTTGATACATCTGTCACAACTCATCCAAATCTACAATCCTCTGCCATCACCTAAAAGCCAGTATTGCCCTTGATGCATGGCATCCATAGGTTCATTGTCAGAGCAGCGCCTGCTGGGCACAGTGAAAGAGTCGGCTAAGGTCCTGGAAGGTCCCCCAGGCTCCCTTCCAGAGGGCACGCGCTCTGTCAGGAGCGGAGCAGACACTGCTGATGGAGCAGAGTGATCAGAGAAGCCAATTCTGCAGTAAGGGTGGACGGTACAAGATGAACACAAAAGGGAATGGTGCAGGGGAAAGGGTCAGATACAGCGTATTGAGAGCATCGGGCTGGGAAGAGGAGGGAGATGTGAGAGAAAGGTTGGCTGAAGGGCGAAGGGGTGGGAGAGGAAGGAAGGGGAGGTGAGAGACAAGGGTGGTGGAACAGAGAAGTATTGCCTTAATGCAATGACCATCAATTAAATGACAGCAGAAAAAGGCAGTGCTCAATTAGGCTGAGAAGCACAATCACACAAAGTAGACTAGAACCCGACAGATCAATTAATTGACCTGGGAGCAATCAAGATGCCAGGGAGCAATGGCAGGAGGAACCAGCATCAGCAGTAAACATGGCTTTGGGGCCAGCCTTCCCTGCATTTCTGTGCTTGGCTTCACCACAGAGTACAAAGCAGTGTTTCTCAGCAAATGGTTACATCCTGTTGGAGCCAGCTCATACCTGTTTACATGGTTGTCATACATAGATCAAGGCAGAAATACTCTCTCCAGATGGTTTATACCTCTAATACAACACCAAGAAGGTTTAATGTGGTTCCACCTTGGGTGAAGAGCACAGATAGCCATGAATGACTAAACTGGAGGGGGCGGGGGGTGGCTACCATAATGAATGGCAGAACATCTGTCCAGAAGGGCCACTTGAGAAGTAGCACCCTGTGGTGTTCAAGAAGAAGATGAGCAAAGCTCTGCACGTGGGGTGACACGGCCCTGTGCATTCAGCCAGGCTGGGAGATTCAAGCTGGGTGGCAGCCCTGCTAAGAACAGCTTGGGGTTACAGCTGATAACAGGTTGATCATTTTCCCATTGTGGATGAGAAAAATGGGCTGCACTAGGAGCCACATGGCTAGCAGAACCAGAAGAACAATATTTTTACCCCCTCTGTTCAGGGCTGGTGAGGCCTCACCAGGATTTGTGTCCAGTGTTAGGTCCTCCAGTTCAGGAGGGATGTGGGGAAAAAATAGAGGGGCCAGCAGAGGCTGGAAAAATGGTTAGGGGCCTGGAGCACAGTGCCTGTGAGGGGAAGAAGCCAGGCTTGGGCAGTCTGGTGAAAAGGAGGCAGTGGGGGCACCTACCATGAGCCTGTGACTACTTGAAAGGCATTCATAGACGTGAGTGAGCCAAACTCCTGCGGTATCAGACAGTGCAGCAAGGGACAACAGCCACAGGTTGTGGCTTCGAAGGCTCACGCATAAGGTAAGCTTCTGTCCCAGGAGCGTGGTGTCCCCTGGGACACGTACCCAGAGAGGCAAGGTTCTCCATCCTCGGAGGTTTAAGACTTGGCTAGACAAAGCCCCAGCTGATGGGATGTAGCATTGGCAGTAGGCCTGCTCCAATGGGGAGGCTGGAGGCCACCAGAGGCCCCTTCCCACAGGCACGACAACTGTATTGAAAAGACACTTCGGCGTTGTATAAAGTTGGAGGACTCCTTACCCAGCCAAAGCACCTTGTGAGAATCAAGAAAAAAAACAAACACAAAAGAAAGCAAAAAAAGCCCCCAAACCCCAGACACACTACTAATCGTATCTCCGTACTAACCACGGCAGAGAAACACAATGCACAAGTCCATCCCAACAAACAAGTTGCAATTGTTTGTCCAAAATAGCCATCTACAGTAATTCTCTACAAAAATACTTCCCTGTCAGCTCAGCAGCCACAGGGAAGTTTTGAATTAGTCTATCCTTCCTCCCACCCTCTCGCCCCTACCTTTTGCATAGACTAAAAAGACTGGCAAGACCTCTTTCTTTTTAGGAGAACTTTTCCACGTGCTTCTTTGCAGACAGAAGTCACTTTTAATTGTTCATCCACTTGGCAAGTTTTCTATCTTCCACATTGTGTCCTTGGAATAACATTACCAAGTGTGGAAAAACATTATTTATTATCATGCAAATTCCACAAAGAATTAACACAGAAAATAGTTTATTTTCCACTCCAAGAGATCTGAATAGCGACATTTTAAACTCATCAGAAACGAGCTTCAAAGTAATACTGCAAGGCACATGGTAAAGCATATATCCAGCCCTCAAAAAGAGCTGGGGACTTCTTCAGATGAGATGTGCTTCCTAAAAATATTGCTGAAGGTGAAAATCCATTGACATTTAATATTACCACATTTGGTTTTTGCAGTTCTGCCAGTGAAGCCTTTCTCCCCCATAGAAACTGCTCCCAACACTGAGAGGCTTTGCTTAAACAAGGATTTGAGGACTCCTGTCTCATTATAATATTTTACAGTAAAAACATCTGGAACACCAGTAGGCATCTTCCATCTCTCCTAAAAAACAAAGATAGAAAAGCAACACCTTAGGACATCCAAAGAAAGTGAGGTGAGCTACCAAACGGCACAGGGTTCGTTCAATCAGCAGGGCTCCACCAGCCCACTGCCACGTTGTTTTTCAAGTGTATCAGGATTCGAGTTCACTTTAACACAGCGCAAGAAAGCTACCGATTCCCAGCAGTAGAGATCTTTCTGTATTTGTATATGAAAGCATCCGTCTTTCCAAGACTAACTCCATAGACGCCATCTGGCACCAGAGACCCAAAACGCATCTGTCGGCTGCTGAGATGGGATTCTTCAACACCATTCACCAAGGAGGAAGAATTCCCATCAACATTCAGGGGTCTTGCAGCAGCGGTTTCACTTGCGTCATCAGAAACGGCATTAGGAGAGTCATTTTCAGCACACTTGGTAATGCCATCCATGCGCTTATGGAGATCTTGGCTCAGCAGCAACACAACAGTGCCTCCAACACGAAGTACTCTGGCAATTGCAGGAAAAAGAAGGGTTAGGCGTTCATCCTGCCTGACATTCATTCCTCTGTGCAGAACTCAACACTGCTGACACTTCAGATGCCAGATGCACTTGACAGAACACCTAAGCATGTCAAAGGGTCATGGCTCAGCTCAGTCACCTACATCTGCAAATGGAATTTAAATTCCCTATTTTCATATCTCTTCCAAAATGGGAGAACCGGGCCCTATCCTGACTCCCAAACATTTCAAACCTCAAGAGTTCTTTCCATTGGGTTAACTGGGTCCATCTTCCCTGCTTTTTCACTCTTGGTATTCTTCCAAGGATCAAGGGCAGTATCACCTTCAAGCCCCGGTTTTGGGTCGCATGAACTTCCACCAGTCTGCAAAGGAACAGCTTCCCAGGGCAGCAAGACCTTCTCGGGCTGGTAAGGCAATTCTGAAGCTGACCTTTCCCTTTGGAGACTGTAAGTCTGTCCTTTCTGTGTTCCACTAATCCTCAATGGCTTTCAAACTCAGGAAACAGAGGAAAATTAGCCATTGTTTGCAATTCATTTTTCTTATTACATGAGCAAACATTACACTTGGCCTTGAAAGAAGGGGAAAAAAAGACCATTCTGGCTCTGTTTGCAGCAAGTGGATTGAACAGTCTTACTGGTGGAGCTCTCGTGGTGATGGACCCTTCCTCACCTCTACCTTCCCAAGGCAGTATTTTGCTTGCGATGGCCCAACAGAGCAAGTAAGACCAGAAGACGAGCATGGCCAGAGGGAGGGATGGCCAGCGCAAGCTGACGTAGGATGCCTCTGCCAGTCTGTGGAGCTACCTCACCTTCTTCACCAGCTTCCCACAACATTCCTGCGTTGGGTGAGCGAGATCAACACTGACTGAAGACTAATCCTACAGAAAGAGCTTGTTTGCAGCCAAGAAATTAAATAAAGGGGCAGATGGTTTGAACTGCCTGTTAGAAGCAGCCCGCTATTAGCTTGGCTCAACTCTGCCGCAAAATGAATGATGGGTGAGAGATGAAAGGAGGCATCTAAAAGCAGACCCGGTGGCTAGCTGGATATTTCAATATACACTAACAAAAAGGAAAATGCATACCACCATTTTCTGGTCTGAGATCCTTCTTGCTAAGGCAGGCTGGTGAAAGCTTGGTGTGAACCCAAAAGCTTGGTGGGAACCCAAAAGCCTGTCATTTTTATACAAGCAGACTTCAGTCGAGAAAGGATTACTGCTTTATTTGCTTGGCCGTGCTTTAAGTTGGTCTAGGTCATCCTCTCCTCTTTCTACCTTGTAAAGAACATTCGTGAATGTGCTTCACAAATATTTCACCATCATGCCTTGTAAAGAGTATTTGTGAGTGTGCCTTACACAACAAGCTCATTCCTTGTCAGCCTGTGCTGCCATCAGCAGGTCCACAGCTTGCAAGACAAGGCACAACAGCCTCTAAGGGGCAAGTAAAGGACTCAGACTTTCACAGCCTGCAGAGGATCAGACTACAGAGCTGGAGAGTGTTTGGAATAAAGCAAACCTGAAGCTGACTGAATGCTTAGGATCGCAAACCATCATGACATTTACACCAAACCCCAAGCACATCAAAGGCCACACATACCTCTCCATTTCCTGGAGAATATCCGGTAGGATCTGTATGTCTTTCGTGATCTTGAACTTCTTCCCAAATGGAATGTCCGAAATCACAGCATCAAAGCTTTCTGAAGGCAATGGCAATGCTGCAGAATAAAGGCAAGTCTTTACATCTGACTATGTGAAAAATGAACAGCAGCTATGCCCCCATTCACCTTACAAAACCGTCTGCCAGCTCTTTCGTGGGTTTTGCACCCGAATTCATAGCCCCTTCTGTATTTATCCTCAGAAACGGCACTATGAAGCTACCAACCCAACGCAGACTGGGAAGAGACAAATGCATGAGATCGTGGCTTAGCTTGCAGATTCCCTGCTACTGGTGGTATGTTTGCCCCGAACAGCACGACTGCACAGTACCAAACCAACTGCCGCTTCTGCATTCACAGGACATCTTTACAAGGAAAATGCAAAAAAAGAGCTGAGCTTGCAAGCGCTTACTTAGCGCAGATGTTCAGATACACACACCTGCATGGCAAGGAACATGTTAAATTTCCCTTCACTCCTGTTTTTTCTCCCCCCCGCCCCTAAGAATCTGGTTACAGCCAGAATCACATGGACTCTGTCAGAGCTAGTGTCTTTGAAGTGTCTCCCCAGAGTTTCTGCATCCTGGGTACAGTCAGTTCTCTTGACCATGATGCAGCACTGCACCCTTGTGGTGATGAAGGCCGACCACATACTGTGCTGGCCAGAGCATAGCCAGCATGTGAAGGTACAAGACTATGGGTTCTCCATCCCTCAGGATCCTCAAAATTCAACTGGACACAGCCTGGAGCAACCTGACCCAGCTTTGGGGTTAGCCCTGCTCTGAGCAGATGACAGGACTAAAGACCTCCTGCAGCCCCTTCCCACCTAAACCCTGCTGTGATTCTATGCCAGCCTTTCCAGAACTAGCTGGAGATGGTTCTTGGGCCATCCTTGGATCAACACTTGCAGCACAACAATTTTATCTACAAGGGGAAGGACAAGTTACCTACAGTCCTTCTCAAAACATGCAGAAATAACAGCTTCTGACCACTGACAAAGACACCTATTACTTGTTCAGTATTAGAAAAGCTTGACAAAGTACCTTCCATTACCCTAGAAGCCAAGGCTAACCACAGCATTTAAATAAGAAATAAAGCTACATATACTCTTATAAAAAAGAAGTAATATTTCTTACCATTCTGGTAAGAAATAAATATTGCAAGGTAAAAAAATATGCATACTTCATCACCCATGCACAAAAAACCACACTCAGCGTTTGTCTGTCACTAATTTCATAAAGGACTAACCTAGACTCAGGCTTTGAGGTCCAGAATAAGGTCATAAAACTATTACCTTCTCCTCAGACTAGCTCGTGAACTAAGAGCAAACAAATATCCCATTCCTGGAGAAAGGCATCGTCATTTAAAATAGTCCTATTGCAAAACATCAACAATGCAACACTCAGCTTAGTGAGTCCCCGCTATTACTCACTTGGTACATTTTAAGTTACAAGCGACATTTTATCTGGATTTGTCTTTGCTGCGTTCCCATTAGACACAAAAAATCGCTCACATGGTATATACTCTTTGTGGTATTCACACATTTACTATTAAGACAGACAACTACTGCCCATGTCTGACAATTGTTATTTTCATTATCTTCTGCCGAGTTTATTCTTGCCAATGTTCAGAGGGGGAAGAGAACAAATAATTATCCACCTGCTAGCACTACAGTCGCTACTCAGCTATTTGTTGAGAGTTAGCTCCACTACACACCATCTCAAGAGAACCCACATTACCTGTATAATCCCAGAACCACAAAAAACTTCAGATGCATCTCACTTGGAAAGCCTACAGACGTACCTTTCACAGAAGCTTTAAGTAACTCAATCTTATCCATCAGGCCTGCAGTCCTAATATTCACATCCGCACCCTCTAACTGTGAATCACTTATATCAGCACCCCAGTAACAGGCTTCCTGTTCAGAGAAAAAGAGAAAAGTCATCTAGTCGACGAACAGGTGTATTTATTTTATAAACCCCTCTCAGAACTGCTTTGTTGCACAGCTCTTCCACCACAAACCCCTTGCTGGGAGATCTATAACCAGTACACAGAGCAATACAGAGAGAAAAGAAAAATGGGGGAAGTCTGTGGTATCTTCACTCCTTTCACGTTCTGCTCACGACACTTGTAACTGACAGAAATACTGGAGCTATGTCCTAACAGCAAGACCCCAGCTAGCTACAGCCAGCCATGCTGCCTCTAATACTGACAACTGACTGTAATGTCCCATTGTCATTTCTGTTCCCAGAAATCCAGGCAGTTTTAATAGTCCATGGTTGCCTCACACAAACCCTGCGGTATAAATCCAGGTCTGCCAGCACCTGCCTGCGCAAGTACATAGGGCTTTGTTTTACATTCCTGTGGAGGAACATTTGTACTAAAACACTTTTAACAACTGCCCAGAAAGATCAGTTTGGTTCCAGCTTTCCAGTAATGGACTTTGCTATAACTGGTACAGATTTTTCTTGATGCCAACTACAAGCAATCTTGCAAAGGTCCTGCCCATTGCAGCTGCCATACTCACAGGCCACTCTTTGGCAGCTTCCAGCAGTATCGTTCCCAGCCCACACATGGGATCCAGCACAAAGGCACCTGCCTGCAGAAATAAAGGGGTTATTGCATCCCAAGCACGACAGACTCCTCTTCCGGACAAAGCTTACTCAGGGATGTACAGATCACCTACATACTCCCACTGAATCCAGTGTAGGTAACAATAATCACTGGTGTGCCAGGCCAAACTTGCTTGTAAGAGAATACAGTAAAAAGTGTTCATATTTTCACTAAAGACAATGCATCAACACATCTAACCTCGAGGTGACATTTAGGGGGGAAAAAAGGTGAGTGTACTTAAGGTCCCTTCCAACCTAGACGACTCTACGACTGCAGATGGATATTGGTACCAAATTGGTCTGTGGAAAACATCACACTTGCTTCTGTTTTCACTTGGGAGGACAACCACAACCAATATTTAAAGCCTGGACAGTGAAAAAATCTTGTCATTTAGAGATATATATGCATACAAGGAACAACACCTCTGCTGAGAAAGACCTGGGATTACAGCAGATATCTGGTTGAACACCAGGTGACAGCACACTCTGAACACAGATAAGGCAAACCCTGTCCACATGCATTAGAGCATGGAGCATTAAAATCACCACACTTCTTCAAAGCTTCCAGCTCTGATGAGCAGCAACCCCCTCTTCATTCGGGACTCTACATCTTTGCCATGAACACTCACTTACACTGATTTCAGCCAGAGATGCCATAGCCCACGCAACTGTTGACCGCAGTCCTGCTGTTTTGATATACTCTCTGTTTGCCAACGGAAGCCTGCAGACAGCAAAAAAATCAACGTAAGATAATGGGGCAACGACCCAGAAAAGCCCACGTAATATGAAAGAACAAATGCAGGCAGGGAGGTTGGAACTCGATGGTCTTCAAGGTCCTTTCCAACCTAAACCATTCTATGATTCTATGAAATGAACTGGACAGATCTGCAGACAGACAGAAGCCACAGTCTGCTTTCGTCCGCAACTCACTGCAAAGTCTGGCCTACGTGCTCAGATAAGCTCCAGACACACCACAAGGCTAATGTCACAGTCCAGTGACTATTAAACCAGAAGATAACTACTGAGTGGACAGCAAGACTATTTAGAAGTTATGCCTGTTCTAATACTGCCAAGACAAAACTGGTGAGAATGCGTACCTGAAAAGGGGAATCCCCACCACAGTGTGAATGTCATTGAGATGTACAAAGACCTGAAAGAGGAAAAAATAACAATAGAAACCCTCAACCTGACATGACAATAGCTTTAACTCATTTAAACCAGACACAAAAAATGTTTCTATGAACTCTGGATCCTAATTTTTAAGAACAAAAATGCACGCTTTAGACAATTACAAATAACTGGAAGAAATCACACTAGGTAATCTGAATGCCACTTTAAAGAGGATTTAATATTTAAGCAAGCTGGGAGGGTAATTTTGTTAGCCAGGAATCCATCAGAAGGCACTTAAATCTTTAAGGGAACTGATTTTTGTAACATTGAATGGGTATTTTTAATTATTAAACCGTTTCCTCTAAGCAGGGGAAGATTATTTGCTGTATACTAGCACTCAGCTATTCACACACACCGTTTTAAAAAAAAAAAACCAAAACCCAAACACAATTGCCATGAAGGGGCATTCCAGATGGAAGGCAGACATGGGTAATCCTTCCAGAAACATAGTCTGCTCAAAGAAATTGTCTTCCTGTCCCACAGAGAGCATCCCAAAAGAAGACAGAGTTCCCCAATAGGTCTTGCAGGACTGCCATCTCTCCCCAGGAAGACCAAAGAGAAACGTGACGCTGCTGAAAAATCCCAGTTTTCAGCACTTGAATAGTTTCACAGCAAAAACCTGGACAAGAACAAAAGCCCCATTTGAGGCTCAACAAAGCCATACTTAACGCACAGGCTGGGAAAACCAGAGCCGGTAGATGAACTCAGAGCTTTTACAGAAGGCCTCAGACCTCCCAGCGTCAGTGCCGAGAGCACCTTCCACATGCCAAACACAGGGATGGAGAAACAGCTTGTCAAGAGCAGCGAGTCCTTTCCAAGGTCTCCAGACACCACGCACCATGGAGGGTGCCTTAAGCAAGCTGCTTGTCAGGGACGAGATCTGGGAGGAGGCTCTTCCATAAGCGGCATTCTCAAGTTGAGTTCCTTGAGAATATGACCTTGCTTCTCACTCTTTTCCCCCTGCAGAGGCTAAACTAGCTCCCCAACAGCTCAGGTGATCTCCATTTTCAACACAGTCAGAGCCCAGCAGTTTGTAAGCGTGCCAGATCCTGAAACATCACCTGTATGGATCTCTCCCCTGACGTAGAGGCCCATGTTGGCCGGTCTGGTATTTAAGTGCCCTGGAAAGCATGTGCACAGTGGCTACCAAAAAGCTTTGCTCAGCACTACCAGATGATTTCTAGTTAAATTCGGCGGCAGAAAGACAAACAGCGAGAGGCGACGATCCCGCATGCAAAGGGAGCGGAAAACAAAACAAAAGATACTGGGGGCAAGTCTGGAAGCAGCAACAGACCACTTGGCAGACAAGCACCACTACCTCTAGATCGGGGTCCCGCAGGTCAGCCCGCCACCCACACTGCTTCATAAGCGCTACGCCGATGGCTCTTCCGATCTCCTGCAAGGGGGAAGAACAGTCACAGGCAGTAAAAATAACAGAATTAAGCAAACCACAGATCACAGCCTTGACTGCGCAATCGTCACAAATACCTGGAAAAGAAAGAGTCTCTCTTTATCCCAAGGAGAACAAGTTGTACAAAGATCACAACAGGTACAACAGGGCAGAGCAGGTCAGTGAGGGGCAGAGCAAACGCAGCGCAGGACAAAATGACTGTCACTCAGCTGGAGGGTGGGAGGCTGAAGTTCAAGTCCTGCCCAAGGTACAGCAAAAGCTGCCATCATTTTAGAGTTATATCTCACACGCACAAAATATTTCTGATGGCTGTAAACTAGATTACCTAAGAGAAAAAACTGTGAATGCACAATTACAACATACAGTCTTAATGCTCGTATGGCATCTAGAAAGTTCCAAGTACCTTCAGAGTACGAGAGTTCAAACACACAGCACACATTTAAGCAACCATCTGTGTTGCCAGGCTCATGTATCCCATCTTCCCAAGGTACTAACTTTAGTAGGAACAAAAAAAAAAAACCCAAACTAGTGAAACTACTGTTATCTTCAAGGAAGAGAAATCTACATAAACTGCAGCTACACAGGGTTTGTTCTTTGATTTTTTTCATTTTATTTTAATTTTCCTCACAGTAGAAAGACACTATAGATGGGAAGAGGACTGGATGGAAGGGGCCCCTGGAGGTCTCTACACTACCACTCTCTCCCAAGGACCAAGATTCATTTCACCCAGGACACATCCCACGGCTCCACCACCCTCCTGAGGAACAAGTTCTCCCCAATACCCAACCAGAGCCCACCAAAGATGCAAGTTCTGGCTTTTACCCCTTCTTCTACACTGTCTGCCACACTTGAGAGGAGTCTGGCTCCACTGTCCTTGCAACCGCCCTTTAAGTAGCTGCGATCAGGTTGTTCCTCAGACTCCACCAGACCTCACAGACCCAGCTACCTCAACCTCTTATCTTTACTTACTCTCAATAAAAGGCACTGATTTGAAAAACATTTAGGGTAACAATGCCCAGAAATTAACAACAGCCTTTATATTTCCACTTGTGTAAGGTAAATGCAGGTTAAGGACTTTTTTGAGAAAATACAGAAAAAGCCTCGGTCAGTTTGTTACGCTAAAACATACAACACACAATTAAAATGACAAATAAACTACACATCTCCCTTCACCTTTGCTAAATTCTTTTAAAACGTAGATACTCTAGCATACCTGTGAAGGAAGTATTTTGGCAATCGCTCCACTACAACGACAAGAAACCCTGAAACTGAAGCTAAGCTGCTCACTATTCACAATAGGCTTCTCTCCACTGCTTTTGGAAGGGTCTTCTAAGGAAGTCTTGCTTTCAGTCCAGCAGTCTTGATTGCTCTTTCTCTCTGGTACCACACACTTCTCTCCTGCCTGACATTCCTCAGACACAGTCTCTCTCACTTGTTCCATTTTCTGCCTTTTAGTTGTAATATTTGTCTCTTCTTCTGATTTTCTCTTCAGAGGCAATCGGTTTTCTTGAGAGACTTCATCTTCTTTCCCCTCATGCCCATGAAAGTTTCTCCAAATAGAGACAACATCCAGCCAATACTTTGGCTCCTCAGTGACAAGGCTTTTAATCTCATGCAGTATTTTCCCTGGAAGAAAAAGCAGTTTCAGGGTAAGTTGTTTAGTCTCAGCATTTGATTTTTCCTACAGAGTGAGAAGAGTCCCTGTTAACAGGGACTTTGTTCAGATTTCATTCAGGTGCGAATCCAGGAACCACAGCAGCAATCACAGGCACAGCTGAGCTCTCGGTAGACACACACCTCACCAGCAGAGGCCCAGGCGTCCCTCCGATTACAAGTTCTGCAGAACCAAGATTAAATCTTGCAGGGGTTGAATTGTGCAGAAGAATTCAGCAGCTCTAGAAAACCAGACCACCTCTGAGAGTCATTCCCAGGGACGGAGGACCAGCCTACCATGCCATCCTCCCCAGAAAGCATTTGGTCCAGGATTAGAGATGCAGGACACTCGCCAGGATTGAAAGACATGAACATGAATCGCTTTGATTCAGCTCAGAATAAAAGCTACAAGTTTAATCTTTCAGAAAGGAAATTTCTCCTTGCTATTCATCAACCTGCCTTCAATCCTGCAAAGTCTCTGACATATGCCTGAACTTACACTCGTGGGTAGTAGTCATTCTCTTGAGCTAGCTACAAGAGAAGCATGAGGAACATACAGGCCAATCCACTTAAAAACCTTGTAGCTGGTCAAGGGGACCAAAAAAAATATGTATTTCTAGTTCTCATTTAGAATCATGGTTACATTTGATCCTCAAATCTGAGGGCCATCGGTGGTCTTCCACATAAAATCCCACCAGCACACAGATATCAATCTGTCTTACTCAAAGTTCCAATCCTAACGCTGACAAACAGCATGACCCAAGTAGCTGAGATTTACAAGAAATCTCTGTACTGAACAGTGAAGCGACACAGGATTTATGTCTGGATCCACTTTGCCTAAAGGAAAATGTGGCTCATCATTAAAATGCATACAAGGGGTCTAGAACTAAACTTCAGTTTCATTCATTTATTTTTTTGGAGAGGGTGGGAGGGTGTTACACATCCACATATATGTACAGTGCCAGCAGAAAACAAGCTGGTAAGACATCCTGTAAAACATTTTTAAGGCCATTTTCAGCACAAAAAAAAAAAAGCGTCAAAAACATATCTGAGTGAAAGATCCTTCAGCATTGATTACTGTCAATTAAAACTACAGCTGTTAGCAAACAAATAAAATAAATCAAATATTAACTTTATACATAGGACTGGAGCTGGGGCTTCAACCTCTCTGCGTGCCCAGCTGTGAGCCAGGGGGGATGCCCCACAGGAAGGGGTCAGTGCCGCACCTTTATTTCGAGAAACCGCCAGTGGGGCGCGTTTCTTCAGCAGCAAAAAGAGTCTCTCTCCAGACTTCAGCTTCCTCAGCTCGCCTGGTACTGCCTCCGTGCTGAAGAAGACCTTTCCCAAGATGCAGTCCACCTTGAGGGGGAAAATAGAAACCAAGCTGACACGGGAAGGTGTTTGGAGTGAGCACTTCAGCGGCCCCACAGCCCCTCACACCCACTCGCCCCTTTGATGTTGAAAAGAGTTAAAAATCCACAAAACTGAGCAACTATGATGTGGTGGCCTACTTTGAAACCATAGCAATGGGAATAGAAAGTCCCCAAAACTAAAAGCACATAAACATGAATAATCCAATCTTGAAGTTAGCCATTGTTCCAAGCGGAGCCCCAACAGAACAGAAAGTTAAACAGTAGCCTAGGGGTAACTGATAGGATGAAGGCACAGCCTCTAGTTACCTTAGGTAATTTTAATACTAATAATCACACCTCTGAGATCTTATACATAAATGTAAGACCACCTTAGTATAACGAGCCAGACAGAAACTGCAACGTGAGCAAATGAATCTTTGTTATATAATTACCAGTGACTAATCTGCTATTTTGATATGATTTGCCTTCCCTACTTTTTTGCACAGAAGACTCCAGGTGTTTCCTAACAGGCGTGCTAGCTCTGCAAGTGATCGCCTGGCACCTTTTTCTGCCCAGAACTGCAATAAAACAAGAGTCTTGACTCCACGCATCAGTTGGTTTTTGCATGCCGGGTAAAGAACCTGGAGGTCCGAGGGCTGGAGCCCCTCTGCTGGGAGGACAGGCTGGGAGAGTTGGGGGGGTTCAGCCTGGAGAAGAGAAGGCCAAAAAGGGGAGACCTCAGAGCCCCTTCCAGTCCCTAAAGGGGCTCCAGGAGAGCTGGGGAGGGACTCTGGATCAGGGAGGGGAGCCACAGGATGAGGGGGGACGGTTTTAAGCTGAAGAGGGGAGATTTAGGTTAGATATGAGGAAGAAATTCTTTGCTGTGAGGGTGGTGAGCCCCTGGGGCAGGTTGCCCCGAGAAGCTGTGGCTGCCCCATCCCTGGAGGTGTTCAAGGCCAGGTTGGACGGGGCTTGGAGCAACCTGGGCTGGTGGGAGGTGTCCCTGCCCAGGGCAGGGGGGTGGGAACTAGCTGGTCTTTAAGGTCCCTTCCAACTCTAACCGTTCTGTGATTCTATGACTCCGTGTTTTCTTGCAGTATTTGATAAATAGAATTGGCCATGCCACATAACTACTGTTATTTTGACTGAGAACCAATGTGCTCTGACCATTGTTTACTTGCTAATATTTATTTTTAATAACTTTTGCTTTGTGTTTGGTTAGGTAAAATGGACTATGGAGGTGGTTTGTTATGGACTGACCCTCCCTCTGGATGGCGATACTGTGAAATACTGTGTCGACGTATATACAGATTGGATTATGGCTCTTGTATTACCTAAGGACTCCATTCCTTTACCAGTTATTAAGGAACCAAACCTTTATGTTCAAAGCATTCTCAAACATCTCCAAAATCTCTTTGTAGGGCGGGCCGGGAGTGGGACCGGCCCTCCTTGGGGATGGCTCTCTGGCCCTCAGTCCGCCCCGGTACCAGAGAAAGAGATCAGTATTTGTACACTCGGAGGGTAAGGGGGTCTGATCTTCAGCTGCCCCCACGGGATCCGCTTCGCCGCTCCGTGCCTTTGTCAGCGCGATGGGAGGGGGCGGCCTGAGGGCCCGGAGCTGCCCTCCCCCCCAAGCCCCCTTCTCTGCTGCAGGAATTTTTATTCTCCAAACTACTCTGTTTGGGGTTCTTATACCCTCCTTCCCACTTACTTACGGGGAGACAGAGCCAAAGCGTGAAGCGGCACATGTCTCATGAGTCAGGTAAAGCCCAGTCCTTTGACTTGGTGGGGCCAAAAGGAAACGCTCCAACAGTAGTAAAAGTGAGATAATTGTGTCTCACCTTCCACAGTTGACACATCTCTGGATTAATTAAAAAACACTAGCTGTCCCTTGGTGGGAGCAAAGCCATCCAGACCAGGCTGGTCTCCAATAAGCACTCAAAAGCCAGAGGGGACAGGATCCAAACCAGCCAGAGGTAACAGATTTCAGTGGAAAATTCAGACTTAAAAATACTTGCTGTCATGGTTCCCTTCCCTCAGTCAGCCAGGGATAGTTTTCCTGCCTTTTATTTCTCTGCAGATGGACTCTCGGCCAGCCCTGGAACGGCAAACCCCAGCTGGGCGCACTGCAGCAGGAGCCCCGCCATGGGCTGTGCGGCTGCGGAGGAACGGGAGCCCCCGCCAACACCTGCTGGAAGAAGCCACCAATTCAGGTTATTTAAGTTGTGGGCTCTCTGCCTGTCTTTGTCTGAAGACAGTTACCCAAACCCATCAAACTCAGTGGAAAACAGGTCCCCTCAACAAAGCCACTGTCTTACACTACTTTTGATGCCTGTGAGAAACAAGCTGGTTAACAGCAAGGGGAGAGCTGAGAAGGTTTTGGAGGAACTGGAGGCACTAAACAACTTATACAGTGCTGACTTACACACTGGAGGAGTGGAACAGCTGCCTTTCACCAGCCAACATGCATACCTTGGTGATCGCCTGCCACCATGCGGGAAAGCAGCTGCCAGGGCAGTGATTTCACCAATTTGCTGCGAGCTCAGCTCTACGCAGTGACACAGCAGAAGAGCTTGTTAAAGCCTAGTCAGCTTACTACTTACTTACTCATAAATAAGAGAGTGGGCAAGAATGCATTAAAATTGTAATGCTGCTCAGATATCTTGTAAAATCATCACCACAGTAGGTGTATTTATTTCCCCACCCCACCCCAGCAAACAGAATAGACAAATGCTATTCTGTGAGCAGCCAAAGGCTGGGAAACAAGTTTTTAAGGGTGTCGAGCCCTTATCAGCACCACACTGTGATTAGTCCAAGAGGGTGCTTCGGACAGCACAACTTTTGAACGACCTTCACACAAAGTAGCTGTCGTATTCAGTATCTCTGTGGATGCGCTGCCCAGCATTCATGAGCAGTGACATGCCTAACTCACGTGGGGTTGTACATCAGTTGGCAAAGCCCTCAAGACCTATCAAAAACCAACCCCACGGGATAAACAAATGAGGGTGAAAAAATGAAGAAATAATCACATAGGTGAGGAATCTGGACTTGCTGTATCAGGTAACAGCCACAGGTTCCTGCTGTCAGGAATTGGGTTCAGTGCCCCCTCCCTCCCAAAAAAACCCACAGCTCACACACTTTGAAATTTTGGTTTAATTTTTTTTTTTTCCTTAAATAAAAGACAGTTTCCAGATACCTAATCATTACTGTGCTGTTTGTGCAGGAGAAACGAACTTTAAATACTAAAATGCACAAGGCGAGTTGAAACAAGCTGTTTGTTTCAAACTGCTCAGCGGTGCAGGCTCAAGCACTTATTTGCAATGGCTTTACTTTTTGTACAATCAGTTCTATGTAGCAATGACTGTATATATAAAGAATATAGTACACACTATTGTTTTCATTGTCAATTTACAAGAGAAAAAAAATAAATATTTTCCATTCTTATTATACATTAACACTTCGGTAGAAAGTTACAGCCGTTGTGTTGGCGTGACCTGCAACTTCAGGAGGAAAAAGGACATGCATACCTACCTATTAAGAACTCTAAACTATGACTTTGTAATAAATTACAGAGGATAGATACCAGCCAACAGAATACCGATTATCTGAATTCAGTACATTTGTGATTCTTGCTCTAAGGAAAAAAAAAAAGAAACTTGCAAAATACAAAAGCTAGATGCTTGTATTATGTAAATAAGACAAGCCATGTATGGTACAGCCTTTTCAAAAATAGGCTCATGGTTTTAGGCAAAGAAGATTAAGTTGTTGAGTTAAGTCCTTGCACCCTTCACACATAACTAGCACCGTAAAGATGCAAGGACCTCAGCAAACACCTAAATTTCATGCTTAATAACTAAAGCATGCATTTTGTAGAGGTTGTGCATGTTACATATTCTGTTTATTAAGGTTACTGTGCAAAAATGAGTCTCAACCATTGAAGATGTTTCTGTAATTCTGTTCAAATTATTTGCAACATTCCTACAGTTTAGCAGGCCCGTGTGAGATTAATGGAAAAAAGTCATACTTGTCGTTCACCCTTGAGCGCTATACACAGACACTGTACCAATGAATTGGCAAATCAGGAAATAATGGCAGCAGCCTGAGTGCTCAACAAAGTGGGGGAAAAAATGAGTTAATATGCATTGCAGTTTACTTAAATATATAGATATTTTAAAATGGCACAAAGCTTTGTACAGGTGGATCTATCAGTGCAAATACATATAAATGAGGTACCAATTAATTCAGGCCAGATCTAATTATACGTATCTTACAATCGCTCTCTTAATTTCCTGTTGCCAGATACAGGCCGACAAGCTGTAGCACTGAAGTAAAATCAAAGTCAAAAACAATTTTCCAACACACCAGATCATTGTAATTGCCCTACAATTTGGTTTCTGAGCTTCCACTCCTCAGACTGACAATTATTTTATTTTTTTTTATTTTTAACACTTAGTGTTAATACTTAATTTTCTTTTTCAAGATTTGAGACTTGATTATAGGAAAAAGTTAAAACTGTATATGTAAACTGGAACAATAACTACAGCTGGCTGAATATTTTAACATTGTTTGACATTTTAACAAGTACTGTCAGGAAGGAGGAATCCAGTTATTGCTATTTGGGGACTTAAAACCAAACCAAAACAACCTGAAGGCATAGACAGCATTGTTTCAATGGTGAAAGTTAAATAGATACAAAACAGCATTCTGCCTAGATTCAGTCCTTTTGCATTTGAACACTCTTCAAGTTATCTACAGCTTTCTCTTCCAGGCAACTATGATGACATTTACACGGAGATATGGATTTAAAGTGGCTAACTGTGGGGCACACACAGCTTTTCAACTCTGGTAATTCTTTCTTGAGACGTTCCAGCTGCTCCACCTGGAATATATTTGGTTGTTCAGGATTCGAGTCGTATATCCTGAATAAACAAGAAAAAAAAAAAAGAAGAAGAAACACTGATAAGTATAACCTGACAGAAATGTAGACTAGATGAAGCAACTGGGTTTTTTTTCCCCTACTAGAGTAAAATTGGGTATAAGCAAGTCTATAAAAGCAGTACGTTCGAGGTTAGTACCCTAAGTTTTGCCGCTCATCTTGCAATATAAAATGGTATTCCTTTTACACAGCAATTAATACTTCATTGGATATACTAAAAAGCTACCCAGTGGCATTTACCTCACTCTTCTGAAAAATGTGACTTTACAGCTGGCACTAAACAGTGAAGTAAAAGCAGAGTTCCAGGCTTCACACTTAAAAGCATTACGGAATTTCAGAGAGATTATTTGAACAGACTGTGATAGACTACTTCTACATCATACTGAATGGAGTCTATACTTACTGTTTCAAGAAGTATTTCACCACCACCCCCAATTCAGAACTTTTTTTACTCTTCCCCTAATATTGTAATGGTAATTTAAAAAAAAACAACAGAAAATCTGATCTTTATTCATACCTAATGCAAATTTATCTAGCTATACTATTTTAAATAGTATATCCTCTTTTCACTTTCTTGTTTTCACACATGTAAACAAAGCTGCAGGATTTGAATTGGCAACATTGTACCAGATTGCCCAAATCCAAACCACATTTTAAATTTGACAGCACAGGCACTGAGCTTAACTCATACTTATTTGGTATAATTCATTATAAAGCAAAAGAATTTGTGTTCCTGTAACCTAGCTTTGGTACAACACTTATCGTGACAAGGATCTATTCTGATCTCCCAACATTAATTTCTAACATCAGTATGTTATTTATATCCACAATTTAAATCCCGGCATCCAGTTCCCCTCACTGGTAGCTGTCACACATTTACAGTTTCAGGTATTGCAGGTCTCCAGGTTTATCTCCTTCAAATGAAAACTTCTGGAAGAAATTACTGTGGCTTCTGCCTTCATCTCTTTTGACTATTCATACTGATATCACTCACTGATGATACCAAACTGGGAGGGGTGGCTGACAACTCCAGAGGGCCACGCTGCCATCCAGCGGGACCTGGCCAGGCTGGAGAGCTGGGCAGAGAGGAACCTCATGAGGTTCAACAAAAGCAAGTGAAGGGTCCCGCACCTGGGGAGGAAGAATGGAATCCTGGGCTGCATAGGGAAGAGTGTGACCAGTGGGTCGAGGGAGGTCATTCTCCCCCTCTACTCGGCACTGGTGAGGCCACAACTGGAATACTGTGTCCAGTTTGGGCCCTTCGGTTCAAGAGGAACAGGGAACTGCTGGAGAGAGTCCAGCGAAGGGCAACTAAGATGACTGAGGGATTGGAGCATCTCCCATATGAGGAAAGGCTGAGAGCGCTGGGACTCGTTAGCCTGGAGAGGAGAAGGCTGAGGGGAGACCTTATTATTGCTTACAAATATCTAAAGGGTGGGTTGAAGGAGGATGGCGCCAGACTGTTTTCAGTGGTTCCCAGTGACAGGACGAGGGGCAATGGGTTGAAGTGCGAACACGGAAGTTCTGTTCCAACACACGGAAAAACTTCTTTACAGTTGGGGTGCCAGAGCAGTGGCACAGGCTGCCCAGGGAGGGGGGGGAGTCCCCTTCTCTGGAGGTTTTCAAGACCCGCCTGGATGCAGTCCTGAGTGATGTGCTCTGGGCAATCCTGCTTTAGCAGGGGAGTTGGGCTAGCGCATCTCTAGAGGTCCCTTCACGCGCTGAAGATGCTGTGATTCCTTCAAGAAAGTGATTTGGTTTTATTGCATCATCCTTTCTCTTTCATACCGTAATTTCAAGGTATGTCCAAACGGAACACAATGTCCCAACCAAAACAACGGAGTGCTACACGATACAGTGCCAGGTGCCTTTTTAACCTTGGCAAGACAACTTGTGAACTGTTGGCAAGTCCAAGACATGAAAAATAATATGCAGCTCAAAGAGTGATACAGTAAATAGGATTCAAATGAGGAAATGCTTCTGCAGGAAATATAGACATGGATCACATTCCTTACAGTAAGACTAAAGATACTTTCCGTAAAGAAATTCCTAGAAGTGAGGACAAATGATTTCCAGTCTCATGGAATATGAACAGAAGGCACAGCAAATTACTTGCACAGCACCTATAATCCAATACAGGCCTAAGACAAGACCCAAAATTGCCTAATAAAAGCTATCTGCAAAATAAAACCCCAACCTTCGTTCCTTCCTCCCAGCATGCAGGTAAGACCTGTGCTTTCTTCAGTTAAGTTAGTTTACACATTATGAATTCTTCTGGGCATTCAAGACAAAGCACTAAAATTAGAAGACAGTTTTCTATATAGCAACACACCTTAGGAACTGCAAATCTTCAGTCCTTCCCATCGCTAGAACAAAGGCATGTTTTTAAGCCCCTTGTTCCTGACGCATGTTCCTAAGTGAGCATGTTCCTAAGCAGCTTTTGGCAGACATTTAATTAGTTTATTGGGCAAGCATAAATTCTGTAACTCTCGCTGCATAATCAATTCTTTTCTGCAGCAATTCTTCTAAACCGAAAGCAGAGAAGACAATGAGGCACAGCTGTTCTTGCACCTCAGAATTTCTTGTCCCCACTTTTTGTTTGGGTCCACAAAAGTACACCAGCCATTGGCAAAATAAGAGCATAGCTCCAGGACTTCTCATGCGAATTATTTCCAACATCACATACCACAATAAGGAATAATATCTCATCTCCCTAGCCTTCATTCTTCAACAGGACAATTATTTATAAGTAACTATGCATCAAAGTTCCTCCACTTGACTTCCTGTTAATAAACAAGTCCTACAGAAGACTGGGAAGTCTTTTTATATTACTTTAAAATAGCATTTTCTACCAAAAGCTTTGCAGAGCATTCCAGGGTTATGCAGTGGGCACAGAACTGAGTGCTTAGCACCTACTGGGTGTTCTTGCAACCTCTGAAAACACAGGCAGCCAGCAGGTCTCAGTCACAGCTGTTTGTCTTTGCTATTACTTCGCCAAAACCTGAAGAGTCAGCAGCACCAAAATACCGTTTCCATGATTTTCTGAAGCTTTTGATTACAGCTTTTCATTTTTTCTTTACTTCAAGGTAAACTTGAATTTACTTTGCAATTCCCAGAATCGGAAAGACTGCTATCACGTAACATCTTAATTCAATCATTGAGAAGATTAAATTCTAAAATCAACTAATACTAGTTAACTTCCTACATATATCCATGCTGTTATTTAAGTAACATTCAGTTTCAGGCAAATAAAATGGTGCAGAGTTAGTCTTCTAGTTTTGGGAAGTGTTTTGAGTGCTTTTGCCTTGCTAAATTTGTGTTCATTTTTGGAAGTTACTAATACTAATAGAGCACAGAGCTTTTGTCTGGAGTCTGCAAATGCAACATGCAGCCATAAAGAACTGTAGTGCTTCAAGAGGACACAAACACGCTGAAGATTCTCATGGAAAAACTTTCAGCAAATATGTTCGAAGATTACCGATTTACTATTTTCATGCAGCTGTGTGTATTATCCAGCAAACAGAACTCAGATCATGTAAAGTGAATTAAAACAAAGATAACACCAGTGTAAGTTAGCACCCACCCCCTCTCCACATTGGTATTTAATATATAGCCAACTGGCGTAAAAGTCTGACTGCATTGTTCTTACTAAGTATATTCAAACACAGAAGTATTTCCTGCACTGTTTACAAAGCTTATCCAGGAGAAAAATACCAGATAAATCACCAATCCTGCTTTAAAATTCGTGATTTTTTACCAATCCAGAGATTTTAACTACAATAGGTTAAAGCTTCTCCTCTAAATAAAATCTAAACATCAAACTAATACAGTGTTTTAAGCATGAGATATTTTTTTTTTCCTGTGTGAACAGAAGCTACCCAGTCAGGCACTTAAAGAACTTTTCTGGATTAGGGCCCAAAGAGAAGCCTGGAGGCAGAGGTGGCCCCTCTTTTCTGGAGGTTGCCTTTTTAATGCAAGTAGTTTGGATATTTAAGATGCCAAGATGAAAGCCAGTTGAACACAGGAAAAAAAAGCAGAGTATTGTCCCAGCAACTGCACTAGACCATCCGTTTGGTTTAATGACTTTGGGTACGTCTAAAAATCTGCAGCCCAAGTGGAGAAAGGACTGGATGGGGGAAAAAATAAATAATATTCTTTCCCCTGCCCCAGGGAGACTGTTCTTTTAATAGCAGTGGCATTTGTAAGCTTCTCAGATTTAGTCTTGCAGTTTTTCTCCATGCAAAACAAAGTCACACCCCCTACCTGAGTATTTTTTTGCCCGACACTTGGTATCAGCAACTTTTGGTATTCAGGACACAGTTTTTCTGCCATCTTCGCAAGCGGCTACTATGTTTTGCTCAATTCTACATGGATGATTAAAGTTCAGAAAAAATAGCTTATAGAAATCATCTCTACCCAGACAGTTCAAATTACCGCATGCAGTAACGATAACTCAGGGCTATATCCGAGCAACCTATAATTCACCAAAATTCTTGTATTCACTCCCTGGACAAATAACACAAGATGGTTTACGTAAAGGTCTAGTAAACAGCAACTCAAAACACCAGGCAAAGCGATTTTTGATAAATATCTGGAATTGGCCTTTAGTCCAGAGAACCAAAGTTCTGCAGAAGCACAGGAAGAAGCACATTTTGATTCAGCCCTGGAAATATTCTGGAGTTCGCAGATGGAACCGCAGCATAAACTAGCTTTACACTAATAAACAGGTTATTGTAGTCCCTGCTTATTTCTCGACAGTGAAATGGGCACATACCTCTCTCTCCTGGAGTTCTGCTTCACAGTATTTTTTTTAATTTATCTATTTCTAAACTTCAAACAGCACAGAATACAGATGCTTATACCATACCTGTTTAAACTTTAGATAATTTAAACTCCTGATATTAACTTCATACTCTGAAATGATTTGAAAGACTGCCTATTTTCCCAGCACCTCCAACTGGGAATGGAAACACTTCCTGCCAGGTTTTACATTTAGACACGCCATCCAGGACTTGCAGGTACCACCCGCATTTCAAAATGTCCAGCTGGAGATATCCGATGCAATTTTCAGAAAGTGTCATGTTCCTTCTAAGGAACCTATATTAAGATTAAATTTATTTCTATTCAGACCATTAGTAAATTCTGAAAAATAATTACGAATTGTAAAGGAATGTTCCAATATTTGTTTTAGCCTACAGAAAAAGGTCAATAATGTTTAGAAATTAAATAGAGTTGACGAGCCTGCAACAATTATAGTGAAACAAGATAATTGTTTGCTACTCAACTGCAGTTTGTAACTTGATAAAGAAAGAAAAAAATGCATCACTGAACTGCTGTTTTTTTAAAAAGTTTCAGAATTTAATGTTAAATTCTGGGGTTCCTCTCAAAGTGGAAAGATGTCAAAAGGTGGAAGAGGTACAGGGGGCACGCGGTGAGAGGAGAGATGAATACTATAAAGAATCCAGACAGTCTATATAGTGCAGGAAGGCTAAGAATTTTTTGTTCAGTTCAGTCTGCAAGGGAAATTCAGCCTATAAGCAATTCCAATGAATCGGTTAGTTATCAAAAGGGGAGGCAAAAGGTGTTCCGCTGTCATACTGCAACTTAAAACACACTAAACAGTACAAAAGGCAACATAAAATGACAAGCCTTGCAGACTTGACAGAAATGCAACGTTATTTAAGTAGTGTTAAGCAATTAAGTATCTAAGGTCATAAGCAACATGAAGTCAGAAATAAGGCTGTTACCTGCCTTACTATTTTCCCATAGTGGTGCGTATCTATTACACCAGGAGTAATTAAGAACTCTAGAAGACTAGATTAGTAGACATCAGATGAACAGATATTTCATAAGAACACTTTATGTAGTATTTAATTAAAACACCCCACCTGTCTATAGACTTAAAATTTATCACTTCAAGTTATGCATATCATATCATAGGATCAAATTTCATCACAGCGCTATGGACTGTACACTACAGAGTCAGAGTACCGCATCGTCTGTGTACCAATCCAGAAATATTTTTCATCTACTAAAGGGGCCCCAATCTGTGGCACTGCTGTAGCAGGAAAGAGGACTTCTGTTTCCATTACTTGAGTCTGAAGCTGATCCCCAATGTAAACATCTTGCTATTCCTTTTTACCACCAATGAAAAGATGGAGACATTCTATATGGTACAAGAACGAGACCTCCAGCAAACCAGAGAAGCGCTGGACCCACCACTCAAAGGACTCTCAAGTCAAGAATAGATTGAAGGGAGTTAAGCTGGGTTTTTTGACACTGGAAGCCAAAAGCAAAACATATTTGATTTCTTGCCTCTAGATACGTTAACTTGATTCTCAATTTTCACTTCATAAAACAGAGCCCTTGACAATTACTTGATCACCCCCAGCTTTTTTAAGCACAGCAATATGCGAAGCAGTGTCCCCGCTAAAGCAAAAGGTTTGAAAGTCTCCTATTATTTGACACTTCGATTACACTTAATGCTCTCCTAATTACACATTCTTTGCAATCTATCAGAAATTCTAATTTAATGCAGCTTCCCAAAGTAATAACCAGCTTGTAATAATGAACTTGACACCTTTTACAATGGGAGCTAACACTTTTTGGTTTTGTAAGGAACTAAAATAACACTTTCGTTCAAAGATTTACCATGGTATTCTGATGTCCACCTGTATTGTGTGGATATAACAACTGCTTTCTGAAGGGACCAATTTGGCAGTTTGCCCTAGGAGTCACTCCAAGCTAATTTTAATAGGAAAAATGGTGAATTCACAGCTTTGAAACACAACAATGTTGGCAAAAAATTAAGTTAAAATCATTCATTAAAGTTGCACTAACCATTTCCATAATTAGATATGGAAAGCTGAAGATTTCAGCCAAACAGTTAAATTACACTGTCCTCATCACATCATGTACAAATTATCATCAGGAACGTTAAAAGCATGTTACATGCATATGCAATGCACTAAAGCCAACCACATTTACGTTAACCTCAGGAGAAAAGTTATTTTGCTCCATATATATACAGCTGAAAGAGTACGAATTGGTGTTAGTCTTGCTGTTGAGCTGGGTTTATGGGCTTCTTGTACTTGTAGTACAAAAGGAAGATATTCCGCACCCAGTCAGCCAAAAAAGCAACATAAAATTTCACAAGACTCAGGATACAACAGTTTCTCAGCTTTATTATTTTTAAAACAAAATGACGTACCTGTCATATATTAGCCCATGAACACCATATTCTCTCAACTTCTTCCTGTTGTCTGGGTCATTTGCATCATCACCCCATGAAAAAATAACTAGGCCTTTAGATTTGGCTCTTTTAATAAATGATGGATTCCTCAGCAGATCTTCAGAGTGCACATTAATTCCCTGAAATACAAAAGACTTCAATTAAAATCCATGTTTCTGAAACACTCTCACATCAGGTTTTTAAATCTTTTGGACACACAGCTCCTTACAATTTAATCCATAATAATAAAAAAAAAAATAATACAATTAAAGAGTTTACTGCTAGCGCTGTTTTTTAAACAATGTATTAAACATACATTTGAAACAAAGGATGTTACTTTGGTAGTTACCAAATGTTAGCGTATTCCTTTTATGAGGTTAGCTGTAACGTTAAGCATTAATGTCAAAACCGATAGATTTACAGCAAGGAGTAATAAGTTAGTTTCATTTCACTGCAGAGTAATGCAAGAACTTGTCAGCTTACCAGCAAGTTTTCAAACTGTGCAAAAGTAATGGCAATTGGAGTTGTACGAGATCTAAGATCCATGAGTTCTGGATAGAGTTTAGATTCTCCTTGGGTGAGAAATAACACAGGATACTTGTTTTGCTTATGCCGAACCCTGTTAGAAAAAAAAAAAGTTTGCAAATAGCAAATGTGTTAAAAAGCAGAGGAACTCAATCTTACTGCTTGAGGAGAATTACACTTTACTGCATGTCCTTCTAGCTCCTAGCTGGTGCAACAAGACGGTACCACAGTTTAACATCAAACTATGTGACAAACTGCTCCAACTCTTCCTTTTGCCACTAGTAGAGATTAACATTTAAGGGAAGCTAGACTTCAAGTTGAACTCAGATCCACATCCTCAAAATGTTTATATAAAATCCTCAAAGACTGTTCAATTCTGTGATTTTCTTCTTAAATGCACATCAGAGTAAAATGAAGATTCACAATAAGGATTTCTAAACATGGTCAATATACAACACCTAACCTTACTAATGTATTTTCCAAGTTGGGATACTGGTACAGTGGTATGAAACGGCAACAGATGGAAGCAAAGTTTTGGGATTAGCATGTTACACACATTTACCCACTTGCTTCTTAACCCTTTTGTCAGTGCCTTGATTTGGTTTTGTTCTGCCCATTTATCCTTCAGTGGTATTTCATCAGTACACTCTCCAATCAGATGAGATTTCCGTAAAGCCTTTCATTGACTGTGCTAAATCACTTCTTGTTAGAGTACTACAGCATGTTGTTAGTTCCTATGTATCCTGACTGTCTGTTCCCCAGTTCAACTCCCATGCCTTTTCTGTGCCCCAGTACAATATGACATTCCACAAAAGCAAAACAAATCAACTAACCAAAAAAACTAAAAAACCCCACCACCAAAACCTGACAAAAAAAACCCCAAACCACACACAGGTAATCCAAAGCTGTTTCATTTTCTCTCCTTTTTAAAAGGCACATACAGTGAAAGAAACTGTAACAAGATAATATTGTTTGTAAGTTAGGCTTGCGTACCCCTCAGGTATGACTGAAAAAGACTTTATGATACCAGAAAGAATCTTGACCTTTTTTGATGTGTCAAGAAAGGCTGAAGCATTCAGGAAGAGACTTGACAAAAATATATGCTTTGACTTTTTTCTCCTATTTTATTTTTCGGGCAGGTCAGATGGCAAAGTGGTCTTGATTCAATTCCCAACTATTTTGGCACCCGACGTTTAAGTGTAATCAAAACTTGTGTTATTTGTTTCCTGTTGGCTATTCTTGTGTCCAAAGTAAATTTCACCAAATAAAAAGAAGAAAATAGATTATTTATCTCTTCTTAACTTACATTGTACAAATATCTGCATTAAAAGAAGAAAACACAATTCTTCTTCTTCCAGCATTCATCAAAACAGTTTTTAGAATAATATCTAGAAAGAGGTTCATATCAAAATAAGTTGACAAGTTGCCATCCCACTGACCATCCTAGAAAGAGAAAGGACAGGTTTCAGCCACTTAAATTAATACTTACTAAAAAGATTTTAACAAGCAACAGTCTCTCATTCAACCTGAGCAAAATGAGAATTCAGTTTGCAAGTCTGAATACAAAAGTCACTCCTTCTGAACTCTGAACGCCAGTTACAGCTCTACAGGACTGTCCGTCTATGAGGTGCACCTGAATTCTAACAGCAGTCAGATTCGCTGAAAAATTCACTGTCTTCCCATCCCAGGGGAGAGTTTCTACAAAGCCTTTTCTAATTTTGAGAACACAAAGGAATTCCAGGAAAGATCGCTAAAAGCTATTACAGATATTTTATATTGCTATTTCTAAATGTAAGAAGGCAACAATAAGGTTTGTAGAAAGAAAAAATGCGATATCCTTTGTCTTTGAGAACAGCCTTTCTGCCGTTGGCCCTTCTGAGCACATCAGCATGTCCCGATGCACACAGATCCAACCTACCCCTCTATGTAGTTTCTTTCCCCCACTCCAGGTTTCCAGTCCTAGCCACGACAACCATTTCCTTCCAGAACGAGCCCTACTCAATCCAGCTGAGTCCACAGTACTGCGGACTAGAAGGAAACAGTTGCTTGTATTGCCACACCAGGTTCTAGCTGCTCCTGCCCAGGGCCAGCAGAGTTTGAATTTCTTGTCACTTTTCCCCACGTACAGCATGCCTGACCTCGGGCGATCCACTGACTTTAAAAAGGGTTTTCTACTAAAAGCAGTCTGAGCTGCAAAATTGACTCAATCCTATAAATACGTCCTATCATTTTAAGAGTAAGTTTGTCCATTTGCTAGAGTGGTGTTATCATACTCCCAATTTTAAAAACAGGGGGTTATAATAAAACAAAAGTGTGACATAAAAAATACCCCAAAATTATGCCATTGTAGCTCATAAATCACCACGTCAAATTACATGCCTTGGCCGTGAGAATGGCAAGGTATAAAAGTAAATTACAACTACATTTATTTACCCTTTGTTGGCAGATCCATTTTATTTCTATGTTGAACCCAACATCTTCAGAAACAGACTCCAGGACCTGAAAAAAAAAAAAAAAAATCATTATAAACAGACCTCACAGCAAAGGATGACAACTAAGCACTACGAGGGTAATTACTGGGAGAATACATTAGAATTTAATGCCAATGGAATCTAGCAGTAGAATAAATCCCCTAAGTTTTTAACATTTAACAGAAGATACGCATATACCTTCTCTACTTCAGTTTAAAGTTAGGAAATACATTAAAAAATGGATAAAATCTGAAGGATAATATTTTGACAAGGTACAAATGCAAGTTAGTTCACCTTAACATGTGTGAGAAATGCCTCGTTTGTATTCCTAAGGAAGAAATGGTTTTCACTTCTCCAGGAAGTTTTTTTTGAACGCAAAAAAGTAACACATAGCCTTAAGTATGAAATCCACGAGCTTGCCGTTATGATGATGAGAATAAAAGTATGCAAAATTCTCATAATTATTTGTAAGGTGACATCAAATAAAAAGGTGACACTAACAGCTGATGAAATTAAGGAAACATTGGTAGATGATTCTTTAACCCTATCAAGATAACAGGTACAGAAGAAAGTAACATTCTTTCTTATAGGAAGAAAAAAACACCGTAAATGGTAACAGACTGTATTTGGTCAATACTTGTCAGTTGTCTCTGTGAAAAGTAAGCCAATGCAAAGCCCAGAGTTGGCAAATAGTCAAGAGTGGGAACATACTAGAAATTCACTTAATATTTCTCTGTGTCTGGCTCTGCTAGACAGCCAAGAAAGAGTACATGATGGAACTGCCAAAGGCCAGGTTTGGGGGTTTTGTTTGGGTTTTTGTTTTGTTTTTTTAAAGTTAGCAAACAATTGTCAATGCATTAAAATGCAATGCCCAGGTGTTAACCAGCTGTAACACTGAGTGTATCCTGAGCTATACAACTTGGGTTCGCAAATTAAGAAGCTTGAAAGATATGCAGACTGTTACTTTTGTGCTGAAAAGGCTCCAGTGGCCAACAATAATAAAGCCTGTGTTCTCAGTTCCAGCATAGATAACAGAGGCCTAGACCCCAAAATGAGTGTCCCCTGCTACATGTGCAAAGATGAAAGTAAAATGCATGTTTTCATGTTCCACAAACATCATCTCTACTATCCTATATTCACTGCTTACTCTCTGCAGAGAAGGAAATGGCTGGGTCTCAAAAGCAGAGTTTTCTTCTTCTTTAAAAGACGCTGAAAAGAAATACAAAACATTGAATCACAACAAATAGCAGCACTGCTAATCCCAGGAAAAAAAAACAAAACAAAAAACTGGCTCAAAATCATAAGGCCTTTAAGAGTAAAGAATAGAACCGGGTCTATTGTTTGATCACCTAAGCCTTCCCTCTAACACTGACGTACTCCAACAGTGGTGTTGGCAACTCCTGTCTGGCCAGCAGAAAATTTTTTTGACCCCTATTAAAAGCCTTACCAGTATATTTCTCAGAAAGAACTTCTCCCATCCCTCACCGTTTCAGCCACTGAATCGCAGCCAGTAGAAGCAGCCTTGCCTGACAAGGCTTATTATTTATTTTATCTTTTCCCAGACAGGTAGGATGTGGGAGATACTTTGCCAGTTTGCTGTCCCTATAAAGGGGATGAATTAAGGCCAAAAATTTACAGCACCAATAAGACACCCTACAGGAGTTACCAAAGTTCTCGTTAGGAGTTCTGAAGAGCTGCAGAAAAGTACAGTTAAAAAGGGATAAGAGAGAAACGTGAGTGGCAATTTTGTTATTCATAAATGTGTATTTATCTATGCATTCACCTTCTGCCCTCCTGTCCCCTCCTTCCCAAAGGAGTAAGTTCTGTCCAAGTATTTACTTCCCAGCAAAGAACTCTACAGCACGCGCAACATTAAAATAACTACATAAACATTTAGAAATGTTCAGGAAGAAGCCAAATGTGATTGGAACAAGTGGCTGCAACCACAGAATATATATCATTACATGGTAATAAATAACATCAAGACTCTTGTGAACTAGTACATACCATTGTGATCTTTTACTTTCAGGGCAGTCACGTGAGCCAGCTAAAGAGCATAAGAAGAGCTAAGTTAACAAGGACTCCACCCACAGAGATCTTACTATCTGTAAAATATGACTAATTTTCCTTCTGAATTGTTTGTAAGATTAAAAAGTCCATTATAGACACAGTTTTAGTGATTTGTAAAAGAGTAACGGAAATCCTAGTACACATCACAGTCTTCTTTCAAACTTTAAACAAAGATTCCAAGGAAAGCTCCAAAACGTTCTTACTGAAAATTCAGGAAACACATTCAAGGGTAAAAGCACACATTATGTAATTTAACATCAAGATGTGAAGAAGTCTGTCAGCTGTTAGTCTCCATGTTTCCAATCAAGTGCTGACGGCAGCAGCGGTTTTATAATGTAGTCACATACTGAGACAGAAACACACCAGGCACAGGGCCAACTCCCTCATTCCATTCAAATTCTCTCTCCACAAAAAGACGACCAAGTAATTTTAAGTGAAAAGAAACATATAGTTCTTGAACCAGCCAGGTGCTTCCTTGACTGAGGACAGATATCTCAGCTGGGTCTTCACCAGCCCAGTCTCATCCCCTGACCCTCTTTCATGCAGGCAGGGCACTTCTATTCGGGAGATACAGCGATACCCAATTAAACAATTGATTAGTTTGTCCAATCCATACCACTGAATCACAGACCCTTCCGCACCTCCACATGCGCCTCATCTCCCTTGTTAACAGGGAAATGTTTGAAAATCAGATAGACTTTGTGACAGGGATCTTTCTTTCTCAAAGACTCCAAAGCATTGGCTTTCAATGAACACTACCACCACTTTCAGCCTTTTTTGTTTTTAAATTATCAGTGTTAGCATAATGATACAGATCTACACATGTTGTCAGACCATCTCTTTAAAAGATATAAGTAATGAAATTTATTCAAGTTGTAACGATGGTGCAAAAGTACAATTCTTGGAATTAGCTACTTGTTCTACTTGTAGAATTTTTAAAACTTGTGCTTTCCCCAACTATCTATACTTACTCCAAAAAAACATCTAAGCTTCATACACAATTTGAAATTCTATACACAGCACATCATACTAGCCAAAGTAACTATACCTTCAATAACTGCAGCTGATCAAATGTGAGTTCTTTGACTGCAATTTCAAATAGTTCCAAAGGCTCTGTATCCAGTTTCTTTGAAGAGAAATAATACATAATTAAGCATCACTGAAAACTACCAAAAAAGCTTACATGCTTTTAATATGACAACATTAAAAGCAACTAATTTTTTCTCTTTATTGATAAAGATACAAGTTCTATCTTATTATAATACAAGATGATCAGTTTTCAGGAGACAACACAGGCACTCAGAAGCATAAAATAGGTGTCAATTTGAAAAAACAGGAATTGGTCTTTCAGGCAAGTCAGAGGCTTCAGTGTTCTTTCTTCAGAAAAGGTTAGCATGTTTGTTCTGTAAACACTTGAGCAGTTAATGCATTCAGGAAAAAGATTCCTAGTAAAGAAATGCGTTAAAAAAATAGCCTAAGGCAGTTCAGTTTATTATTGTCTATCCAATGTCTCAAACTAATAAAAGAGACAAGTGTCCTGGTAAAACTGAGATACACATAGCCCTCCCCCAAAATAAAGATGGTGACAAAAAAAAAAAAGAATCTGTCAATCCATTTTTCACTTGCCCTCTTCACTATAAAGAAATTTTTACTCAACAAGACAATACTGATTCATCATCCACTGAACATGCGTTTCCCTTGGTCACAGTTCCATCTCCCACAACTGTTCAAAACAAATCTTATAAACCACAATATCGCAACGGGTGTGAGAGTTTGATGATGCAGGCTTAGTACCAAGAAGACAGACAGAACTTCTCTTGCCGTGTGCTCTGCCATGCTACCTTTGCTTTCACTGCCAGAACTAGAAAGGAAGAAAACTAGAACAGAACCCAACGTCTTTGCACTGCTGCTGAACGCAAGTATTCTGGCCTCGGTGGAGAACATACAACAGACCAGACAGAAAAGCAGCTCAGTGGTTTGGGGTTTTTTTTGAGTCACTGGTCCTTACACCTATGGTTCTCTCATTATTAAGGAGTGTCACGTCACTGTACTCTGAAAACATTCAGTTGTTATGCTTTATAAAACTTGGGTATTTAAGAGGTGTCGTGACAGCGTGTTCAGAGTGCCTTTTAAAGTATGCTTAACTGTACGTATGAGTAACAGTACTGTTCACTGCTTATGTTATAGTACTCTTGCCTCTTACCAAAAAGAAGCAGAAAAGGGTTTTTGGTTAAAAAAAAAAAACAAAGCAGGAAGAACTGTAACCTCATAAGGTAAGCAGGGAAAGGAACAGGACACTTGCTTCTAAGAGCCATCTTCCTGCTCCTAGAACCTCTGTCTTAACTCCTTTCCTTCTGTTCCACCAAGCAATCCAAAAACAGTTCTTCAGCCTCACTTACCGTCCCAACGAGACATGAAGTTTGTTAACCTCACAGTTAAAGAACACAGCAAAATGCAGAAGTAAAAAAAGCATTAAAGAAAGAGTCAGGAAAAACTAATGGAAGCCAAGCCATTTGTGGCTAATCAAACACCCTACGTGAAGGAGATCATTCTACTTCTCTGCTTTCCCTCTTCTGGGCTTTACTGGGATACCAAACAAGGTAGATTTTGGTTTGACCTAAAGAGCAGTTATGAGCACCTAACTGCTTAAGAGAAGTACACATTTAAGGACCAGCAGGAGTAAGAAGTCATGCTGAGAGTCACACTAACGCCCTCTCAAAAAAGAAACAACCAGTTTTAGACTCTGACAGTCTAAAAGAGTTCCCAGAGGTGCTACTGAATATAGTGGAGTTGTCTGCATTTTTCTTCCAAACCGTAAATAAAAAAAGCTAAAAAATAACTACAATGTAGGCTTGAAGATTCTCAAACCATGCACCTGACATGCTGTTGCTACAACATCAATAAGAAAAACCTCAACCTTCCTGCTCTACTTTATGCACACAGTAACCCTGCGTATTTATTCCCATTCCACCCCTTGATTCCCCAGAATGATTTCTGAGGGCTTGGCATTTTAGTTTCTGGAACGGTCACATTTAAAGATAAAACACAGATATCTTCTTTACCTTTTTCATGGCCATGCAACATGTGAGATCGTGGTATACAATAGGCACATGATCTTTAGAAAGGTGTACATCAAATTCCACATACGCTGCTCCCTACAGAAAATTGAAAAACACACAGAACAAAACAAAAACGCGTCAGCTAAATATGCACAAGGACTACAGAACTGCAGCCACGTTGCCAAGTATTCACAGGTCCTGGACGTTGACCAGAAGTTGAATGCAACTGGCTGTTACCAATCATACTCAGCAATGGATTAGAAATGAAAGAAAATCCTATGGGACATCATTTTAATTACTATAATGCAGCTCCGACACATAGAGCTTGCTTAATCTTGTAAGCTCTCTAGTAACGTTCAAGTATCGTAAGCTTGATGTCAGAGAAAGGCTAAGATGGTGCTTTTAAACATAAATGCCTTCACAGTGCCCTTCCTCCCTCCTCTCCACCAAGAGACAAGCAATTGTTAGAATATTTTTGGAAAGAGGGAGGGCCAGAAAGACAGACAGAAATGCACAGAAACAACTTTTTTTTTTTTTTTTTTTACTTATTTTGACTGTCAGTAAATCATTCCTTTGAAAATCCTCAAAGATTAACATTCACCAAATTATCATCCCGACTCACATACTCTCTTTCAATCAGTACGGGAAGGAAACAGGACAGGCTTTTTTTCAGCCCCTTTCTGAGCAAAAATATTTTTAGAGTGGCTGCTTTCAGCATTTTCATCTGCAAATAGTTGAAATTACTTTTCCAGCGACGCTGCTGATGGCTCCATAGTCAGTTTCTGCCTCAAGGCGTATTTCTTGTGGGCTTTTTAACCTGTAGCTTCCACCCAGAAATTAAGAGCTATTGTTCAAAAGGAGCATTTAGTAACTGCAGTTTTCTTTTGCTCTGCAGTCAGTACCTGCTCCAGAGACTGTGTTCAAATTTTACTGACACCTAAATGAGAGAAAGCTTTCAGCTATGATTCTCAGGGAGTCCAGAATCAGTAGCCAATAAGCATAATACTTCAGATTCTGCTCCCATCCCTTTAACTACTTCAAAAGATTGTTTGGTAAGAATCTACATTAGCTAAGAAGTACCTGAAAAGGCTTCGGAACCCTACAAGTTAAGCAGCAGGTGATCTCATAGCAGCATCTTTGTGTGACTAACTGCAGCTCTTCACTGTGAAAACAGGAGCTAGACAAGGAACCTCTGAACATGCTTCTGACCGCAGCTCCTCTGCTGCAGCATCCCACTAGATTGTCCAGATCAATCTCTTCACCGATCACTTCAGTGACCGAGATTATTAGAAGGAGTAAAAGCGACCACCCGAATCACAGAATTTAAGCTTCCGAAGCCAGCATCTCCCAAATGGAAAGTCTCCCCTTAGGATTCCAAGTCTTCATTGTGGGAAGCACTGAAACAAAGGATTGTTTTGTTCTACCAGCTCAGTTCCCAAATCTCACTTTTGGACACCAATTTTAGGTACTCAGCAGTCCCCGAGCGAGACCTTTGCCACCTGAGTATGTTGACAGACTCTAGCAGAGCCAAAATTTTCTTTATCGTTCAAAATTATTCCAACCCTATGTCTCTGCAGGGTTAAGAATAAAATTTTCCCTGTATAAGGGCACCACCAGAACATATCAGATGGAAATTTCGGGGTCTTTTAGAGGAACTTGAGAATGACAGTCTAAACTAGCTGTTACTTGCCTTCTTATCTCTCAGGAAATTTCCACAGTGAGTTGACATAATTTTGTGTCAGTGCAGTTACCATCCATTGCATTGAATCATGGAAATTAAGCACACAAGGCAAAGCTCGTTTTAATTACACAGGTACTATGTGTGTGCACATGTGCGTACATACGTGACTAGCAGCATTCCTCAGAGAGGCAATAGTGTTCTCTTGAACTTTTGCAAGTCTGAAATAACAGCAAAGAAAAAGGGTTTGTTCAACGCAGCATGGCACCAGAGTCCATTGAAACAACAGAAATACAAATCAGAAGTCTTTCTGTTAGAGAACGCCCACATTTGATATTGAAGCGACTTAAACGATTATGGGTTGTAGCTTTTTATTTCAAACTGTCTGCTTCCTCAACTGATGTCAGTGAAACTAAACATAACCCCCTCCTCAGAATAAAATGCAAATGAACTTACTTAGCTGTTGTTGTAGAATTTCCTGCTCCCCTGTGTCCAACATCTAGAGTTGTTCTTGGTTTCCAATACTTTGCATATGAAGCCTTCATATCACAAGTGTAGCCCTGGATCGGTTTAATAATTATGTAGTCCACTACAAGAAGAGTAGCAAATGCTTCATATATCAAGAGATAATGGATGACTTCCGGTAGTTATCTACATCTGTTTGCATCAACTGTACCTCTAACTTTTCCAATTGTCTTCCTTGGATTTCTGCTCATAATAGCAAGGGTAATAATTCCAGCCCTCTTTCCGAGTTCTGCGATTGTGGATGACAGGAGGCAGGCGGAACCTACGTGACCTGGGAGCACATCACCTTGTACTACTTTCTCACCTAAATCTTCCTAAAAAAGCAAAACAAACAAACAAACACAAAATACCTCCTGTTACATGTAGGTGAGAATTCTGAACAAATTCTTCTTCCTTGCTCCTCATGAAGACATATACAGCAACTGATGTAACAGAAATTTCTTGTATATTACAGAAAACACTAATTTCAGGCTAAAAAAATGGGTAATCTACCAGCATGTTGAAAATTACAATCAGGAATATGAAATTGTTGATGGAAATCTACAAAACTCATGTACATTTGTCTGTGAAAACTCTTACATTTGATAAGCTTTTCAGATCAACATTGCATGCATGGAATAGTCTGTCTTCTAAAAAGCCCGAGTCATGTCAAAGATGAATTGGAATAATATATATATGCTTAAGATAACTTTGTATTCATTTGCAGGGAAGGAGGAGGGCAGCCAACACGTAGAACGTGTACTTGACCATAGTCAATTTCAGGAACTATGTGGCCACTTTACAATTATGAACATAAGGGATAATAAGGGCATTTTTAGACCAAAGAGAACGCTTAAGACTTTCTTCTGCATAAACAGTATGAAGAGACAAAAGTTGTTTTATTTTAAAAAGGACTTTGAATATTAAGATCTTTTAGGGAAAAAAAAGTAGAGTGCAAAATAACAGATGGAGTAGTGATAATCTGCAAACATCCAGTTTTAATTTGAACTAGATACTTCAGAGAAATCTCTTTTGTTTATAACTTAAAAATTAAGATCAAATAATTGTAATTTAACTAGTTCACATACACATTGTTCAGATGCAAGAAGAATAAGCAAAACTTAAGTCTGACAAAGGATAAAAATTAAGACAACCTAACGACATGCAGTACTGCCCACTAAGATTTGAGTCTAATCTGTACTGACTTCTAAATAAGCAGAAACTGCGAAATTCTCTGTGCCATATCAAGAAGATGCACAAAACCTTTCTGCAAAATGAGGTAGTAGCCAATAGTCTCATAGCTTGTTTACACAAGTCCAAAAGATGAAGAATATCAGGCAATAGCCCTGTCCCAACAGTGAAATCTTCATGGTAATTGACTCTACCTCCCAAAGGCGGACTGGAGCTGCTTCTTAGTGGTAGCGAGACGTACCTCAAAAAAATCAAAGATTAATTCCAAGTTATCAGGCTCCATGGTTTGTATTGTGTATTCTATCCATCGGTCTGGTTGCAAAGCGTAACCACAGTCTGGCTGGGAGTGTCGGCATTTGTATTCGTTGTTACTTATTAAGGAGAACTCCACAGTGTTTGCCATTTTCTGAGGGACAGTAGGAGATGTCTTTTCTTGGCCCTCTTCATCGTCCTCATCTTCCTCTAGGCCTTCTAGAGTCAATTTTACTCTATTCAACCAGAAATACAAAACAAATGTTTAAGTCACAGGAGTGTCTTTGGAAACACTAAAGAATTAGAAGGAAGCTTGAGCAGAAGCTCATACAACACAAGAATTCTTCTCACCACCACTACCTGCAGGACAGCACCCTATGCAGCAGGCCCTCGCAAGAGTCAGTTTGCAGCTCTTATCTAAATCTTTTTTAGCACTTACTTTAGTGCTCAAGTCACTTCTAAAACTGGAAATGAGAAAATTGTACTAGTGGTCTGAGAAGCAGCACTCCATCAAACTTATTAACAATTTGGGCTGCCAAACAAACAAGCCTTTCTCCACAGGTTGATACCCATAATGCCAAAAGGCTAATGAAAAGCACTGAAAATAGTAGTAATCACCAAAATCAATATCTGGACGTCGGTGGCTGCTGATAAGTGCACACACACAACTTTAAGCCTCTCTGAACACCGATAAGGCAGGTAAATGTATTCTATTAGACGTAAACAACATATAATTAGTAAGTCCATTGAGAAATTCTGTCAGACTAAGTGATCGTTTAAAAGTACACCAAATGCAATTTCTGGAAAATCCTGGACTGAGAAAAATAAGCCTTTCTCTAAGACTCAGAATTCATTATTATACAGAGCAAACCTTCCACACAGAAAGAACTACGGCAACGATGGAAGCATATATAAGTAATCCAAACCCCCTTCCGAATCATCGAAGCAGGAGATGGGATGAAGAGTTGTCATTTAGTTACATGCCAATTCAGTAGTAAAACTGAAGTCGTACCTCAAAGAAACAATTACAATGATAAATCTTTTACACTAAGTCCACATTCTTAATACCCTTACAAAAAAGAAAGAAGTCACAACACAGATGCTCCACAAACTTGAAAAATGACACTGCCATAGGAGGTGACAGTCACAAAAACTACCTGGGCAGATCTAACCTTTTAGGCAGAATGTGGAAAACAGTATCCAATGAATGCATTCAGCTTATCAAGTTTAGATTTCAACCATCTAGACAAGGATTAGACTTCAGAAATCACTCTCTCTACCTGCTGTAACATACAGGGAAAAACTTCAAAGCTCTAGAGAACAGGACATAAGTATTTATTTAACACAACATTCTTCAGTGAGAATTAACTTTTCCCTCATCAGAAGAGTTGGAAGTGAGGGGGGAATAAAAAAAAAAAAATAATAATAATAATAAAAAAAATATCAAGTGTCAGACCATCAAAATAAGGCACACAATACAGAAGTAACTCCCGGGTTAACTGAGTTATCTGTAAATCACTTTGATAGTGGTGTGCTGGAAACTACTCATTTGTTACAAGCTCAAAATCTGATTTCTAGTGATTAAATAAAAGTTTATATTTTCTTTTAATATTTTCCATTAAAGAAAACAGCGAACCATAATCCTTTCCAAACAAGCAGATGGGTTGTATGCAAGATTAGGAGTGGGAAAAACAGTTAGTCTGTCAAAGGATCCGAGAAGTCCTGCTCCATTCTCTCCCATCGCTCAGAGAAACACACGGCTAATATACTACCAAAAATTGCTGTTGTAAAAAGGCACTTTTGCTGAGGATTGTTAGTAATAACAATCATCACGCATTCAGAGATGTGTCAGGCTCTAGTTTAGGAGGAAAGGTTTTTATATGTGTCTACACTCTTTTTCATTGTTTCGCAAGAAAACAACCCTTGTTTTCTGTATCTTTCACAGTCTACACCACACACTACAACGATACGTGCTGGGATAAAATTTGGCAACCACAGAGCTCCAAAAAGACGCATGCAGGAAGGAAAGTGGTCAGGGCAGAAGGGAGGATAGGGAAGAGAGAGCTAGCTCCAGATCCCAGAAATTCAGGAGGGAAAGGAGGTCCAACACTCAAGGCAATTGTGCAGTCCTCAAAACATCACGACTAAGAACACCCACTTCTGTCAGTCGACTATATAGCTTAACTATGTCTGCTTTTTGAGACACCTCTGCAGGTAAAACCATCAAACTGATCTAAGTAGTAACAGAAGTGATTAGAGAACGCTATTATCTCCACCATCCATGTTGACTGGAAATCTGTAGTGCCAGCGGGGAATTAACCATAGATTAAATGGAGAGGGCGGTTTACTTTGGCAAGGAGAAAAAGTAGTATTCAAAAAAAAAAAACCAAAAACAAAAACCACAAACTGTAAGCCTTCTCCCTTTCCCCTAACTTCCACTTCCATTCTGCTCTTTTCAAGAAGTTAAGAAAAAAGACCAAGGAAGAAAATTCTCTGAAAGTAATAGCAAAGAACTACTTAACACTGCAGTTCCAGCCAAGAAGCAGGAAACACCAAGACAAGTATGGAATAAGTATTTCTGAAAGACACCTGTACTTGCTGCTTAACTTGTGCTATGACATCTGCTTTTTCATACTTAATAGCTTAATAACTATCAGAAAGGCAAGAACTGAACAGTATGAAGTCAGCAGGGAAACTAGAATAGTTTTGTTTGACTGTTTGTCTTCCTCTGTTTCAACAGAAGAAACTCTTTCAACACTACATTAATAATAAAACAAGGTAACTGAAACACACCACCAATTTAATATTATCACCATATTTTTTTACGAAGTGCTTAAACACCTGGAAATTGGCCCGATAGCACACCCCTATTGGCAACCAGAAATTAATTTGAAGGCTAGTTGAAGTAAAAAAGAATCATTGGTATTGACAATTAACATGAGATAAACTGCAAACTGATGAGCAGGCTCTTACCTAAACCTTGATGTTTTAAATTTCTTCTTAGATATCACTACAGGTGGTTTCTCAGAATAATGCAGACGTAACCTTATTTCTGTTTGACATGTCAGCCACCCAGCATCCACAGTTTCAATACCATCTATAAAAAAAAAAAATAATCAAACAAAAAGTAGAAGACACTTTAATAACTTGTTTTATTTTCAAAAGGGGGAATCTAGACAGTTTAATATACAAAATAAATACAGTTCCTCTGACACCATCTTCCAGACAATTCTCCTTATCACCAGCCTTATTCAATAGTATTTCCAGAACACCTGAGTGCATCCTTTCACTTGTATTTTTCTACCCCAAATAGACAACAGAAACTGCAGTTGTTTGCTGGCTTTTAAGAGGATTAAATAGGAACAATGATCTTCACCAGCTTCACCTGTAAACTGTCTGCAAGAGAGCACTAAGTATCCCAGTGTTTATTTTATTTAGGGTATCAAGGGCTAAGTTAAGCCTCCAAAGGTAGATAAAACATTCCCTTGTCCAGGAATCTCTCAATACGTGGAATAACACTGATGGAAACTCTGAGATTCATATCCAACTTGAGACTCCCCGTTTCTATTGAGGTATAGGTGTCGAATTAGCTCATCATAATCAATGCCAGTGAAGCAGCGTAAGTCTGCAGGACAGGATATAGCGACAGATCTGACGGGGGAACAAAGCACGGAGGAGAATCCTCAACCTCACCATCAGGACAAGGAAAGCCTACACACAGGATGGCCAGAAAGCATAAGCTGCCAGACCAAGTGCTGAAGAAGACCCTGTAGTTTTGAAGAGTTCCTAGCAAAATGTATCATTCTATGTGGATACGAAGAAAAATGGAAAAGCTTTAAGGCAAGCTGTGTGATATGTGACAAAGTTACGTTAGGTGCCAAGAGATGGAGCGTTAAGCGAGAGGTGGGTTAGAGCTGCCAAAAGTGAGACATATGCACACATAAGAACATGAGGTTTGAGCTTACGAGAGGTTCTGGCAGTTATGTGCCTAACTGAAGAGGCAGATTGTGTACATTTAGTGTAAATGATAATATTTTTCTAGGCAGGAAGAGTTTTTTCTAAGGGTAGGTTTTAAGAGAAAGTTAACAGTCTATTTAGTATTTCCAAAAAATACATGCTTATTATCTAAAGTTCACAAATTTCAGCCTTGAACACCAGCACACTGACAGTATTTCACTGACAGTATTTCACTACCAGTCTTTCATTAATATTAGAAGGGATTACAGCCCAAGTGTGAATTCACAAATGCTGGATACAAAAAAAAAACCATATAAGCAGAGAAAACAATCACTTACAGGCAATTCCTGTCAAAACTAACTTGGTATTTCAAATATTTTTCAACTACAACATTTAAGCTTGTTAAAATTAAATATGCGGTAAAGAGTAAAGGACAATATATCTCACTTACTACGGATTCCAAAGTATCCATCGTCAATAGTAATTTCATTTTCTAGAATTAAAAGGAGGGGAAAAGAATGAGAGAAACTAATTAGTATTCACATTATAAAGAAACATCGCCAAGTTAATTCTACTTTTCCACTTCACTTCTAAAAAGTATATCTAATAAAAAAAAGTAGCAAAACTGAAACAGACAAAGAATAAGCATGTTTATTGCAACCTTCTATAAAGCTTTTTCCCAGTTTCTGCAAGAAAAACTGAATCAACACACAAAATGCTATGTTTTACCTGAAGCAATCTGAACTGAGAAAAGCAAGAAGGTTGCCTAATTCCCTAGTTTGCTGCAGAACTTTGCTGATAATATCTACATCCTACTAGGATCTAGGATGCTTTTCTTGTTAGGGTCAAAGACATTAAAGTTTCTTGCAAACATATAAGAAAGCTGTCCTCCTGTGCATTTACAGTTAAACCTTCTAAATCAAGTTAGTCATAATTAAAGTGCTTATTCTGCCCATGTGACAGAAACCCACCTAGGATTAAATGTTCAAACCACTCATTTCACACTTGCTTTTATCCTTACACTCTCTGAAGTTTTCGTAACTGAAACCCTAAGGCGCTAAGTAAATTCCCCAGCAGTAACGGAACTGCAGTAGTCTATACATTTCTCAAAACACAAATCTTAACAAAATTTTGTCTCTAGAGCCATTAATATCCCCCTCCCCTTTTTTTTTCCTAAGAAGTATCATGGGCCTGCCCTCAATTTTTAATAACCACAGGCAACAATTTAGGATCATAATGACCAAGTGCTAACATTCTGGGTTTGCTGCATTTTCTTAAACACTGGTTATGAAGCATCAAGTACTACTTGGGAGAAAAAAGAAAAAATAATCCTAACTGTTTGGAATGAAGTTATCCAAATTTAGAGATAAAGTCTAGACCCTAACAGAGAGTAGGCTGCTTCCCTAATCAGTTACTGACAAATACAGAAACTTAATTTTGTTACAGGAACAGAAACACTTCACTAATTCAATTGAAATTCAAACAAAAAAAAGGAGGGGCGGGAGAAATGTGATCATGGTACTATTCATGATTAACAATTTCTTTAATACCAGCTTCTTTCTAAAAGACATTCTTTCAGTGCATCAGAAGGTATTTAATAGATATAAACTCTTAAGTATGGAGCAAATAACATTTCTTATATCATAGGAAAGAGGGCATAAAACATGCCATCCCATAGCAGCGTAAGAGATCTAAATTACAAGCTACATTCCAAGGTTATTTTAGTCACTCTTAAAAGAAACCCAAACTTTTCCCCTGTTCAAAAAAGCATTAGGAACTCATATGCAAGTCTGCATGCCACCTTTCCTCCAGCAAAATTACTTGCTGCTAAACTGCCGGGTATATAAGCCCATTCGTGTTTCTATTTACATTAATCCATTTACTTAAAGAAGCCCAATTAAGAATTTTTGCTTTAAAATTTTACTAATGAAACAGTAGCTAAATAAAAAACAGCAGTGACTTCCCACCCTCCCCCTCCCCACATTTTCTCTGGAGAAATAATATGGATCCTTAGTCTCAAAGAATTAAACTTACAGAAAATTATTACAGTGCCAAATTAATAAAAAAACTCAACCCACATCATCTTAAGGATGGCAGCAAAGAATTTCACATCCACTCCGTTTTTAAGCCACTTATATAAATAAGTATTTTGAGAGTAAGGCCCATGTTGTGCAAAGAAAAAAGTTTATACCTCCAAGACATTAATAAATTTAAGTATTTTAAAACTATAGTTATCAATCCCTCTAAACCAATGTGCAGCATATTAGCAATCTTATGCATATGCCTCAAACAGATGCAGTTGATGCCCATACCTAAAGGGGTAATTGATCGTGGTTGTAGATGAGTCTCCCACGTGTGAACTATGACTTCGCAGGGACCATCGATAGTCTGTAATTTAAAAGTTAAATGTCTGCAATAATTTCTTTTGTTATATCTGATTTTCTACCCATGAAGCTGTTTGGGATGGTGGTGAATTAAACTTACGGATTTAAGAAAGAAAAAGAAGGTGAAGGAGAAAGGGGGGAGGGAGAGAAGAGAGAGAATATGAAAGAGAATGAAAGAAAACAGGTCAGGCTCATTTCTTACCCCTGCAACTGCTGCTGACGCTATCTGATGCGTCAGGTCATGCTACATATGACAAAACTCATGACAAAGTCTGACAGGATGGAGAAGTTACATGGAATTATTAAACCTTTACTGCTTATAGCTACTCTGCTGGACTACTGATTTATTCTCCTTCCAATACAAAAAACAAAGCGGCCCAGAATTCATTAAGTGGGCTTTCTTTTTTTTCTTAAGGTAGCACAGCAACAATTTACAAAAAGAATTCCCATATCCCACATCTCTCCGATCCCAAACAGGACTCGGCAGCTACTCGCAAAGTTAACAGTTGCAGGGGCGGGTTCTCCCCCAGAATATGCTTGACTGATTCAAAGTCTATAAAAACACAGTTATTTTAGTTGTGGTGCAGAAGCGACAATTATCTACTAATTAAAACATCAATAGTCAGGATTTTGCTGCCTCAGAAGGAACAATACAGTCATACAATGCAACCGGCCAGCAGTGAAGCCCCCTCCAGTCCATTCCATTTGGGGCAGGCTAAATTGGATTACGCCAGAAAACCAAAGCCTACGTTTGTTGACAGATACAGCCAAGACTCAGATACTCAGAACAGTAACTCAATCTTTTCATTCATAACAGTGTAATTTGGAAATTGCTTTCTAGGTTACAGCTTTTAGGTAACCACTGGAACATGCCCAGTTCCCAGATAGCTGCAGAGTGTTTTGGTGTTTTGGGCATAAGTAATTCTTATTTCCAAAAAGACTTGCTACTATTGCCAGTCATATAAGCTTCAACACCAACTTGTCCCAGTACTTCAGGTTCTTGTTTTAATAGATTTCAGCTCAACAGGGACATCCGGACAAGCTTCAAACTCAGCGGTATAGTTACACGATTTGCTTTGTTATCTTACAACTCACTGAATAAATTCTTTAGCAGCAGATGGGATTTCTTGACCTTTCTCAAACACATTTAATCTACTATGCTTTGGATGACTTAACAGCAAACACCAAATATTTAAAAAGCGCTCAATAAGACAGGTTTGCTCTGTGAGTCAGCTGAAAGCCATTACGTTTTTCTAAGGAATTCTGAGGCGTCTATACTTAAGGGTCATGTCAGAATAAAATACATATGCTTCAAGTTATGCTTTAAAGGTGTAAATATAAATAAAATAAGGTGATCCTATTGTTTTCAGTTTATTCCTGTTCCAGGGCAGTTTTAATTCCCATTTTCTCACCACTGCCACAATAATCACTCTTATGGGCTTCTAGAAAAGCAAATAATGAGAAGTTTCTTCCCCCTTCTTTCACAGCAGATCCACACCTGCATGTCACAATGCATTTCTGAACCGTGTTCGCCAGCAGGGAGGCTACCATTTCCTAATGCCACGCAGACCCCCAAGCTTTCCACCAGCGACTCCCACAACCTCATACGCAACTCATAGCTCACAATCCTGGGGAACCCAAGCCTGTTCTAACACGGATTAAACTGTTCCCTTCAAAAGGTTTTTTCCTGGAGAAACTCCCCAACGTATTGTATTAAAATACCACCTTATTTCTTACACTACTGTAATTGTACATTTTAATTTTAGGTTCTAAAATGAGGAATGAGAATTTGAGGAACGTTAACCCAACAATAAGCACAACATGCTGGCTACATTCAGCAAAATTTCAGCGCCTGGAAGGAATACAGTGAGCTGATTATGCACTTAATCCCAGGAACCCTCAACACTTTCCATACTAAGAAGAGCCAAGCAAAGCTACCTGGAAAAGAAGGGCAACAGATTAAAGAACAGGCACAGATATGATGGAGAGCCTTCTCACCATCCCTGCTCAGACCGTCTTTGTGTTTACAGGCATTTAAATAATCTGCAGCCAAGATGTTTTAATTACAGCTAACGGAAGTTATTCCTACAGTGACGTTAAAATACTGATGTGATTTCAGTGGCATAGACTGACCACATTTGAACAACAGCCCAGTTCAGAATGGCCTGGAGCAGACATTAATGATGTGTTATTAATACTCATGGTATGGTAACGTTATTTAAGAAGTCAGTCTCTGCCAGGACAGTCTCAGAAGGGCACCTACCCAAAGGTCACATCAAGCAGCCCAGTGGGCAGTACACCAAGAATAAGCAGTACTGTATGGCATGGATCCCTCTCTACTAACATAAATAATAATGTATTTTTTTAAAAAAAAAAAGAAAGAAAATACATAATTTTTATGTTGCTTGTTTTATATTTAGTTGAACATTTGATGCAATTTTAAAGCTCTTAAATGACATTCAAGAATTTTCTAAAAAAAAAAAAAAAGTTCAAGTCCTCTTACATTCTCAGAAGCTGAAGGGTCCCCCAGTAGTTATTAGACACTTTTGAAATGAAGGGTAAAATGCCTCTGTAGCACAATGCTCCAGAGGTTCAAAGCAGTCTGATGCACACTCTGTGTGAAGTGCTTGGGGGCTGAGCACAATTAACAAATGAAACCACCTCTGTGGATGTTCAAATGATTATTTAGGAGGCCAGTTCCAAAATTCCTGATCCAAGGCAACACAACAGAGCGGGCATTAGGAAAAAAAAAAAATATGATCTTAAAAACACTACATATTTATCTGAGTGGACTTTTTAAAACTATGTTTCAAGGATATTAATCTACTTCATGACACAGCTAAATGAATTAGACTTAACTACTGATGCTGGGTTTCTGACCAAAATCTCTCTGGATCTCTGTACCACGAAAAAGACAGTAATTAAGTACAAAACCAAACAATCACCCAAAGCCAGTCAAGCCATCGTAACTAACTTCTCAAGGCAACAGCCCATGTAAGTCACCTGCCAGGACATCCTGAGCTAAATAGAGATTTTACAGCCCTAGTTATTTCCAGTAAGAGTTTAACACGCTATCTCAGTCTGAGCAGAGGTGTTCCTTTGTCATGATCAGGTTAACCATGGGTTATTAGTCTCGTGAAAGCTTTTCCAAGGCACTCTGATATTCAAGAAATTACTGAGCCTAGACTTAAGTTTCACATTTATTATTATATTCCAGGCACTAAATGGATTTGATTTATTTATGGTTTAGAAAAATAAGCTTTGAGCCTCATTTGAAACCTCTATAATTAAGCAATATTCTCAGAAGTGTGAAAAATGTTCACAAATCCTGTCTTAGAAGTCCTGCTACATGCACAGATAGCTTAGTTATTTCACAATTTCCTTGGAAGTAATAACCCTAACCTTGCATGCTCATTTACTGTTGGAAAAACAAATATGGAGCAGAGCTTAACAGAATAAGGTGTGCATTTAACTTACTAAGGTGTTCAAATATGCATCATGCAAACAATACATATCAAAGCATTCTCCTAAAACATATGATATGCACAAGACTTAAATTACAGACAAGGGGGTTTTGGTGAGTTGTCATCCCCCAAACATCAGGTAAGTGTAGAATAAAGCAAGGAAGGTACCTTACAGACCAGAAAGGTAACTGGTACTGGGTTACGTTTAAGACAAGAACAAACTAGTTTAAATTCCTGTCCTATTTCACCAAATGTATGTATTTACTTTTCTTTTAAAATGCTTAAGATGACTCGTATGATCATAAAATTTTTACAACGCAGTCGAAGCGCTTGATATGCAGGAGCATATTAATGCTCCTTGCACCAATTTTATAGTAAAATGTTGTGTATACATTAATTTGTATTCTTACAAATATATTGAAAATTATAGACTATTAAGTACAAAAAACCCAACGCTCTATGCAACCACAATCATGCTAACACCAAAATGCTTCAGTGCAAAGAAACTAAACTTCCCATGACATTGTACTACACCTTCAAGCAAAATAATTTAAGAGATCAAATTATGACTTTTTTTTTAAAGGGAGGTGAGAAAAATACTTCCCTATTTGTTTTATTCCAAAATGTGAATTATTATATCTATTTTCACATCTAGTCTGTAGCAATATTTTATGTAATCTAAGAACTAGCATTTCTCTGTGTAAACATTTGTCACCCCCAGCTTTGCCACCATGTCCAACTCAAGTATCTTCAAAGATGCAGTTGATATAAAGGAAGGGAACAGTAACTTCAGCTGGATCTGTCTTCAGCATGATTTACTCAGTTACACGGTGTCAGATTTGTATGTGCAGACTTCAACATATATTTAACACTACACATGTATTTAAGTTATCCTACTACAGACCATGACATGCAAAATTGCACTGATATAAAAAATTAACAATGTCTGATGGATCATATATCACAGTCCTATCAAATCGAGGAGATTAATCACATGCGATGCATAATAAAAAATTACTGAAATATAAATATTCAGGATAATTTCCTTATCAAAGTTGTTAATGCTAAAGTCCTCCATACACTGTCTCATCGCGCTATGCTGTGCATTATAATCCTGTCATAATGAGGGGATCCTGCTTCTATATGGGTTTTCATAAAATTTACATGAAGAGGAAGAAAACATTGTAGCTGGAATTCTTTTCTTCAAAAGACTTGGAAATAAAGTCCCATGCACTTAACAGGTACAGGTTAGAGACCACTAAGTGGATAACCACGTACCCTGGCAATTCACATACTTTGTTTTGTAGGGTGGTTTTCTTTTTTTCCTCCTTTTTAAATACAGTAGCTCTTTATGCTGGTATTGCATAAAATTTATACTTACCTTGGCAGACTCTGCATCACACGGTACATAAAGCGTGCACGATACAGAGCACCTACTTAAAGAAACACACTCACCAATACACATCGTAAACTTTTTCAAATGTTAAAACAGAAATTGTGTGGTCTACGAGCACATTTTCTGCCAGTCTCTTCTCACCAAGTGTGCTTTTTCTAGCGTGCTGTTGCTTACATTTTAAACTTATGGGTGTTTGTGAAAAACATAAGAGTCCCATCAGAGCTGCTAGGCTCTCAGATCTACTTTTTGTAGTCTGAGCTCAGAAGAAGAGATCTATTATTGCCTTCCCTTCTTTTGCCTCAGAATAATGATTTAAACATCAGTTTCAGATTAGACTATTTCACATGCTGTAATGAAAACCAGAATGTAGTCTCTTGTGTTTCATTTAAAATTAGCATCCTTCACTGAGATGATACCTCTGAAATATTTTCTCAGTGAAAGGCTAGTCCAGCTGACAAAAAACCTTACACGCCCTTGACAGCAATTTACAATATTTAAGAGACATAGACCAGATGATTCTCCAAGTCCTTTGCACGTTTAGCCACAGCCTTCTTAATCCCAATTTCAATGAAGAACTAAAGCCCAGGGTGAAGAGCCACACTATATGAATAGAGTAAGAAAGACAGCAAAGATAACTGTAAGAAATAACCTATTTAAAGCTATTACTTGTTATTAAGATAAACAGTTAAAGAGTAGCTGCTTATTTTCCCAAAGTAGTCCAATTTTTTTCTGGATGCAGTCTCATCCCTAGTCTGAAGAACTTTCCGTTTACCCTTGTACAATGTCTACTGACCAGTATGCTGCCACATACATCCAACTCGCATGCAATTTTGCCATCAATGCCTGTGAAAAAACACCTGTGTGTCTCTTGGGTTTTCTCCCCCACCCCAAGTCATGCAAATACCTATATACAAATCTAAAGAAAACACTGGGATGCCCCATACCTGGTTTTACTTTTTGACTCCAAGATATCAACATGTGTTAAGTATGCAGCACAAAAGCTAGTTAATACTTCTTATGCTTCACCAAAAAAATCTGCAGTCATTTTAAAAACTGTAGTAGATTAGGCAAAATTAAACACACCTGCTCACACTAACCATTTTTCTCCTGCTATTGCTTGCTTCCACGCTAGAGATTCTTGCCCTGCTGAAGTCCATATGCAATTATAAGTGTAGATGTTGTTACAGCTCCACTATAACTAATAAGAACTTCACCAAATCATTTAAGCTTTGTAGTAGTGTCAGGCATTTCACTATCACTGGAACTTTTAAAACACTAACACTGGTAAAAGAGTGAAGATAATTTAACAAAAATAATTAAAGTTAACAGCATATGGTCATGTATTTCCAGAAGTCGACTGCTTGTATTTCTGCAAGTGTTTTAATGTTTTGGATGTTGCAATTTAAGATTTATTTCTAGAAACTCAAGTTTAACTCAGAAAACCCTTTTTACTTCAAATAAGGGATTTTTTTACTAAGGATGAGCCAACTTAAAATAGAAAAAGTTGTACATACCTTAGGTTCTAGGAAGTATCCTTTAAAATACCGATACCGAACAGGAACTCCTCTAGGAAGCTCTACAGTAGCTTTCCATAATTGACTGTGGAAAAGAAAAACAAAACAGTTTCAAAATACAGCCTAACAGCCACCTCCAATGTATTGCTGCAAGAAAGGTTTTTCCAAGGTAACTTACCCAAACATGCAGAAAGCACAATAAATACTTAAAATTGAAATTACACTTTCTAATCTATAGATCTGAAGTGCTCTCATGCAGCAAGAATTCTCATCCTCATTTAATAGATGGGGAAAAACATGATGAAATAATTTAGGGACTCATCCAAGATCACTGACAGAATTAGAAATACATCCTGCGAGCCCTATTTTCCTGCATCACACAAACAGCGATAGGCAGGACACCATTTTAAGAAAACATGCAATTTCTCCGCTGCATTTAAGCTTTCTTCCATGTACACATGTAAACCACATGTTTATAAACACACAAACCACTTAAAGAGTTTTAATGCAACTCTCATTAAATAATCTTCTCCCCATCTCTTTTTAACCTATATGAATTATTATTTTGGCTATAAAGTACACAACAAACATCTATAACTTGCTGTATAGTTATGGGACTGAGAATTATCCATTGCAGTTTCTTATTCAAAATGTCTACAACTACATTACTGAAATATGCCAACTACAATGGCAGAAGCATTATCTGTAACTAGAAAACCATACCCCAAGTTAAACACTTTCATAGACACATTCGTAAGCATTCAAAACCTTCAAGGGCAACACAGGAAATTCTGAAGAGTTGTATGAACAGTATGTGTAGCTCAACAGTTTACAAACTCAGAGCCAGAATAAATTTGTTGCTCCAGAACTCTGCCTACTTTGTAGGGTGGTTTTCTTTAAAAAAACACAAACAAAAAAACCCAAAACAAAACAAAAAAGCCCCCAACTTACCGATCCTCAGTTTGGAGGACCACTGCAACTTGTGGATTCCAATTTCCCAAAGCGCTGCAGCTCCCACATATTGCAAAAACCTCTCCTAAAAAAGAAACCCCAAACAGAAAAACCCCACAATCATCATTAGTCAAGACTATATGGAATAAATAAGTACAGCCTACACTGTAAAACCTTCAAATATCTTAAACATATACAACCAGAATCGCCCATCTAAACTCCCTCTTTTTGGTTCAGAAAGGAATTTTTCCCCCACCCAGGGGAACTACAGCAGCGTTTTCTTTGCCGTCGTAAGGATCTTGCTGAGACTGGGGCTACTGACAACCCCAGCCCTTAAAAGGGTTGGCTTCCAAATTGTCCTGCAGTAATACTGTTCAAAAATCTCTGGAAAAGCACCAGGCAAATTTTCACTGTAAAAATGTTTTCTGTCAAGTTGAACAACATTTTTTTCCTTATACTGTATATTTTTAACATAGGTACTAAAAATGCAAGTCTCCAAAATGCACACCAACAGTCTAGAAAGCACAGACAAATAGGAGGTTGTAGCATTACTCCCAAGACAACACATCCATTTAGTTTTATTCCTGAGAAATAAAGTGATTTTTGCTGCTATGCTTTCAGTTCTTTATTGGGTATAAAAACATAACACTGTTACACAAAAAAACCCCATCAAATTGTCACCCGCTGTCTACCCTAATATATACATACAGAAAGAAAGCATCCAAAGGATTACAATAGTATAAGAATGCTTGATTCTGGGATATCGGGGAGTTAAAATTAACATTGCAACTTACCCTTGTTTTTAATATAAAATCTATACAGAATCATAGAATTGTTTCCACTGGAAAAGACCTTTAAGATCATCAAGTCCAACCATTAACCCAACACTGCCAAGTTACCACTAAATCATGTCCCATATGTATATGGATACAAACAACAACAACGATAAATACAAATGGAAAGGGCAAATTACTATTTTGCTTTTACAGGGTTTCAACAATATTTTTGGACACAAGAACAAAATCTGTTGCAGAAGGAGAAAATACGAAGTTTTAAGTATATTTAGGCACCATCCACTTAACCTTTTAATTTTGCATAGCAAAATTTAAGAACTAGCACAGCACTTGAGCAATTTTTAAAAGTGTAATAAAAAAATACTGAAATTTACCTCAGCCTCTAACATGAAATGCCTAAATGTGAAGCAGATATAAGAAAGTTCAGCTAAAGTTAAATTAGTCCCTTAATTGGAGAGGGGCGGGGGGAAGTGTTTGAGAAAAAGAGGATCAAATCGATAGCTGCAAAGTTTGGGAGGAAAAGTATCAGCCTTAACAAAAGCAAGATACAAGCATCGACGATGGGAATTTCCTGCTCTTAAACAGAGAAAGATGTAGCAATACTGTTGGAGCCACACTAATCTGAAGATACAAAGTAGGCAAGCTATAGACAACAAAGCTACTCCACCTTTTACTAAGCTAAATATCACAGGCGGAACTTCAAAGTCTGAAAAACAGTTTTGAGGAAGTCCTTATGCCTCTAAAACTGCATCCATTTTTTCTAGTTACACAGGTTAATCTAGTAAGAGATACCACCACCAGGACTGTTTATGAAAGAAACCCCTGCAGACCCAGGGGTTGCAAAAAAATCTACAAAAGCCAAGAATTAAATAAGACAATTTGTTCCTAAAAACAGCTCAGTGGAATAATTTTAGAGAACACCTTGAACTACGATCCCTTCTTTTAATAAAATCTTTTGTTCCAATGCATTTTTTTTTTAAACCAAGCTTTTTGGATGCTCACTGTAAGCATACAAATGCAGACAAAAATCAGGTCTACGAGTATACTTATTATGGAATTCACTGCACACAATTGCCTGGGTCAGGTGCTTTACCTGTTCCACTCCGTACTGGGGCAGATTATGGTTTTCCAGGGAGGAGATAAAGGTGGGGAGGGAAGACCACCCGAATACCACACAGAATTTCTGACTGGCAATATTAAAGAGAAGCTAAAATTCTTTTAATATCCCTTAAAAATAGCAGCATTTAGTACATCTTAGTGTACACACCAGCCAATCTCTGAAGTGCCATCTAAATTATATTCCTCTTTGTAGCAGCATGCTAGAATAGTTTTCTGGCCTTTTGGTTTTTTAAACAAGCGTGAACATGCAGTGAATCCTTGTAACTCACCAAGGTACAACACACAAGACAACACTTGAACAAGACATTCAGTCACCCTTAAACTCACTTTAACAATTACATTGCAAGGCTGAATCAGGATTTGTAAAATGCTACTGAAATTATCCCAGGAAAGGTAGGAGTGAAGCCTGTGATAAACTGGAACTGCCTTTTTCAAAGGCAATTCTAAGCGCGGCAGGGTTTGCTTTGGTTTTGCATTTTAAGCCTGGGGGTCTTCAACTTCTCCCCCATCCCATGCCAGGGAATCCGATGTGGCCACAGGCAGAGCTGCTCCAGCGGCAGCAGCGAGGAAGCTATCCCAAGCCTTCTGCCGAGCCTCAAAGCTTCCACCAGCCTCACCGACATTGCAAGCTCTCTGCTTGGGCCAGCAGAATCTTTGTGTACAGTTGCGAACCAGAAGCTCCATTTTTTTTTTTTAATTTCACAATAGCTACTCTTTGGCCACCTAGCAGTCTCTTGGTATGGGACTGTGTCCTGATGAACACCTAAAGGAGTCACAACCAGTAACCAGCGACCCCCTTCCTTCCGCTAGGATGAAGCCAAAATGAACCACTCCATGTCACAAATGTGTAAAAGCCTACATCAGTGTGTCGGGCTTCATCACCAGTGTTCATTCCAGAAGTGGTTTGGCTAGAGGGAGTGAGTCAAAGCACGGTTCCCGTGCTGGTGATGCCCTCTTATCCTGCCAGTTAGCCTGGAACCACTGGCTTTGACATCAACAGGAAGGGAGAGTGACAAGGACACAGGGAGCACGTTAGCACTTAAAGTGAGGATTCGTGTCTCACTAACTACTCACCATGGTCATCTGACAAAATCAGTACATGATGTTTCTAAATAAACTGGACCTTTTGGTGTTTGTAGAACTGCCTAAGGTTCTGAAAACCCACCTCCCTTCTTTCACAAGACTGCATCTCACCACTGCTGCATCTCAAAGCTCTACTCCCCCTTCAAAACCAACAGCATCAATATTGTCATAAGCAGAAGCAACCTTCTGTGTCACCTCTTTATGCTACACAAATCAGCATTTCCAGGTAATTCTTTGTAACCAGCCACTAAGGCAGAACCTAGTCCTCCCTAATCCTCATTTTTGCTGCAGATACCATCAGTAAAAGGTACATGTGCAAATTCAACTTTGCTAGTGACAGTGCCAGCACAACAGTGGAACCAACACCGTAAACAGGGCAACAAGAGCACAGCTCCATTGTATAGCTACACCAGTGCCCTATAGCCTCATTTGATCAAAGGTCAATTTATTCATTAATTTAAGTTTTCTCCAGAATGCTATAAAAACACTACTCCTAGTATACTAAAGGCTTCACGTCCACATTGTGTGTCAATGTTCAGTTCCCAAACTCCCAATCAAATGGGAGACACACAGGAGAGATCTAACATGGGGCAGATGTCAAAGCTTTTAAAATGTTTCTATCATTTCTCCCCCACCCCCCACCTACAACAGAGTATTACACCATCTGATATTTGTCTGTAACAGGAATTTCGCCAATCTGTACATGCTCCCACATTCATCTGCTTCTGTTAGGCCACCACCAATTATTTTTTCAGTGACCTTCCTTCAAAGTTCCTAAAGATGAAGGTAAAAGTAATAAGCACAATTAATCAACACTAAATCTTGGTCTTCTACATGATTTGACACCTTGTGTTCCTCATTTAGATTACAGAAGTTATTTTACACATTTTTGGCAGACAGAATATTGAATTAAGCTGCAGATTCTTTCTGTCTGTAACTGCTAGTAGAGGTCACATGTTGGTATGGAGAACTTTCAACAGGGATGCAGAGAGAGCAAAAAAACAGAACAAACACGCCAATGCATGCGTGACTATCATGGCCCAGAATGTAAACACTCATTCCCATGGAATAAAAAGTTACTAGAGACAGAATACGGGTTTTAAAACAATCATAACCCTTTCAGTCAGCATCAAAATCTCTAGCACAGTATGAAATTTTTGTTTGAAGAAAAGGTAAAAATTAATTCCCAAAGCTCATTTTCAAATTACTATATGAAATTTCTTAATTAATGTATTTTACAATGACTTACCATTTTGATATTTGAACTGACATGTTGTTTTACCTCTGAAGAAAACAAGACAGCCTTTGAACATTCTTCTATTCAGTTTTCTTCTAGTTAAACCATACAAAAAGGAGAAAGCATGATTTGGGTACCTGGTACTGATGGTCCTCTGACTTCAAAAGTGACTTGAGAAGAGGTCATACTTGCAGAACTTTTGTCTTAGGATAGCTGAAATCTCCTGTAGCGGGAGGAAAAGATAATACATTTCAGGAACAGTACACTACCTCTGTTGCTGTCCTAAGAGGAAACACGAATCCCACACATCTTTTAGGGAAGCAAACCACTAGTGACATTACTGTTTGAGCGAGCAGTAAAAACAGAAAACCAGCATCAGCTCCAGAAAATAGCATCCAGCTGCAGAAGACACTGTTGCAACACTGGCACAAGAAAAAAAACAGACTGCTAAATCAAATACCATATGCAAGTATCAATATCATGCAACACTCAGTCTTAAGCCGAGATTTTTTCAGAAACCCCTGTTTTGACTAGTTTTGCTCCCGCAGAGACCACTGGAAGTTTTAATGAGACATTTAAGATTATGACCTTTGGCAAGCAGTAACTTCTGACTGCCTCGCCATGCTATTTGCCAGCACCCTCTTCAAAACACAAGAAAGGTTTCATAGATCAGCACTGCCACCTTGAAGGAAAAAGGGGAAGAACCCATGACAAATGACAGATCCTGGCTGTCACAGGCAGTGAGCTGTTCAAGACCTTGGACTCTGCACCCCTACCAATACTTTCAGACTTTCACATGGAGCACCGGCAGACTTGGAAACACCACAGCAGGAAGGGACTACCCACAGCCAGGACAGCAGTTGGAGGATTGACCCTGCTTCAATTTTCTAACCTCCTCCAATACAGAGTAACTTGATGGAAAAAAGCCTGCAGAATCCCACTCTCCCTGTTACAGCAGAAACACTATTGATGTAAAATATCCTTTTATATTATTTATGAAAGTAGTAGTCATATCAAAGTCCGAGTCCAGGTGTTGCTATACTAACACTCATCACCCAAGTATACCCCTTTGGAAATGGGCTGCAAAATCATCATACTGATTATATGCAGAATTAACTTTGCAATGCTCTCAACTAATTCATTTCTTTATGTTACTGTGTTGGTTTGGGGTGGTTTTTTTTTCTTTTTAAACTAGGCAAGTAGAACTTTTTTATTGCTATTTTTGAATAGGACAAAAGCAGTTTATTTCAGTACAGTGTTGGTCATTATTATTGAAGCTGTTACTGAAGGATTGATGACAAAAAGAACTAATGGCATTAGAGAGCAATCCACCTTTCATTAGCCCTACTGCAAGCCCTTGCCTTCAAAGGGCACAGGGCAATTTAACAGATGCCTTGAAAGCAAGAAAAGCTAGAGTAAGATACCAAGTAGGGGGAAAATAGCTTACAATCAATCCTTATTCCTCCTGGGCAGACAGACAGTGTGAGGATCTCCTCCTCCTCCTCTCTTAAGCTATTCTTTTTCTAACTAATGCTGCCTTTACTTTACATTCCTTTTTCTCCTCCCTTATTACCCTTCCTCCATGTCAAAGGAGATGACTTTTCAGTGGTAAAATGACAGCAAGAAAATGGTAGCAACGTAGATGTTTCTGGTCATATATTCCAATTCTGCATGTAATCTTTTACAACTAGCATTTCTGTAAATGATCGAAATCCCAAACTACTGAAGGTTTAATAAACGCTAAATAAACAGGAATTCCATGAAGGCCACATCCTTTATGAAGTTTGTCACATGTGTGTCATTAGGTGGTCTGTATGTTAACAGTGACACATTATAGCATTTATTTTTAGCAGTTGTTTACAGACACAGAAGCACAGCATGTTTCAGTGCTGAAACTAAAACTGGACTTGTGAAACTGGTCCAGTATGACACAAAAATTTCAGTTTAAAGAAGAGAATATAAATTACTAGCTTGCATTTAACATGACACGGAATAGTTCAGAGCCTGGGCTGTGCTCACCGACTGTCCTTGCTTGGACACCCTTTAGCTGAAAAGCTTAGGAAAAGTAGGCAAAAATGCCTTGCCTAAAAAGCAGGTAAGTGAGAGCTAAAGCCTGGACCTGGTGCCCCAAAGCAAGAACAGGCTTTTGCCTTGTAAAAAAAAGAAAAAGCTGTTTCCAAATGCCACGTGGCTCAAAATTGAACTTGAGGAAAATCAGCATGCCTGTCTTACTCCAAATTAACTAACTACCCATCCATTCCTAGAGAAAAATCTGAAATGCTGCTAAGTCTATAAAGCTTTTAGCCAGTCTTGTAAAAATTCTATGTACCTACTTGCAAGGCATTTGTGAGCTTTTCTGAACTGTCTAGCAAAAGAACATCACTTTTCTATATAACAGTAGTTAACTGTAAGGAGCTTTTGATAATTGTAAAGTTGTCAAAATTCTGCTCAAAAGGCATTTTCTCTCCAAGACCTACTCTACATCCTACAAGGGATGCGTATCAGGAGAAGGAAAAACTTTAGTTTACATCGCCAAGTGCAGGCATGATTTTTCTAGCAGAACTGCAGCTACAAGTATTGCACTTATAGCCGCGTTTCGGGCTAAAGTACTACCCCTCATTTGAAGAAACATCTTTGCTAGCAGAGCACTGTACATAAACACACAGCAAACAAAAAAGTGATCAGCTTTTTGTTAATGAATCAAGCTTATGTTGTATATTATCATGCACTTACAAAACATTCTGTACTTTCAAGGCATGATATGAAAATGCTTTATATAGGGTGAAAAAAGCCTAAGTTTAGCTATCTGGTTACTGCTGGTTCCCGAGAAGAGGGAGTAATTTAATTCACAGAGGGAAATGGCAAGAAACCCCATACAGTCAAATCGTCTGACCAGTAGGTGTCAGGCGATCTTTTAAACACTACGGTCCCTCTTTTGGCTTTACAGCACTGCCTCACCAAAGCAGCTGACAAAGAATTACAAAATCCTCTCTCCTCCCCAAACCTGTGAAGATGGACTCTTCAGGAGAACGTAAAGAATCCTCAGCTCAGAGGGATCTCAACTGTCTACTCAGGGGAACGGAAACGAGTTAGAATGGTTGCATTAAAAATGTTAACGCTTTCTCATCAGCAAATATTAACCAAGTCAACCGAGCAGATTTATGAACTAGAAGTCCTTGTGCGACGACCACTTTTAAACAACCTTTGGGTTCAAAGGTATTAAAGCTGACTTCACACCTGCTGCAACTCCACAGGTCCAAATACAAACACATTGCCCTCCATCCTATGTGCCACCTCCTCCCTTTTGGTCAGCTTTTATGGGCTACAACTAGATGCAAGCAAGCAAGGAACCCCTGAATCTCTGTCCCTTCCTCACAGGAAAGAGAGGTCTCGCCCAGGTAGACATTCACACAATGGTATCAGCACTTAAAAAAAAGAAAAAGGGTTTCTCTGCCTAGAGATTCTTGCTTTTACATGTTCTTACCCCCACCACGTCACAGTTCAAGTCTCTCACACTCTCCTCCTTTCTCAAAGCCAAACCCTTACCTGTCGCAGTCTCTGGAGGCTTCCCAAGGAGATGGTGACCGCACAGCAGCAGCGGCACTCTGAGTCCTGGGGCTGTACCAACCCGCCTTCAAAAGCCTGACTCAGGTAACCCTGCCCATCCACCGACCTCACAACCTCACGGTATAAAACAGGCTGTCTGCAAGGCTTCCAGAGGAGGGGCAAGACCAACAGCCTAGTAGGTAGGGGCATGTGCAATCTTGATTCCCCTGCCATAAGGCAAAGCTCTCTTCATTCTCTCAGACGGGAAGAAAAGCAACTGGGAATCTTCCAGTTTCAGAAATCCACTTACTGGCCTTCATACACCCAAAAGAAAAACAAAGATTTTAAGCACAGTACCCCACAGGCTGAAGAGAAAAAAAATGTACTCTTTGTTATACTATTGCCTGTAAAGCTTTCCTTTCACAATTTTCTCCTCACACGCACCTGAAGGAGTACAAGAGCGACAGGAGTTAATGTACTTGCCTAAATAATAGGGAACCCAAGCTCTTCCCTCCTGATTCTAGAAAGGCATTTGTAGAAGATGCAGGCAAACGGCCACGGACCCCTAAAGGCGCTTAGAAGAAGAGAAAAGGCAACATTTCAGACCTTCCTTCCAGCATAATACAATCAACTATCCCTGTGTCACAAAATATCACAGCTTTCTCCTAAAATGAGGTAGCAAAGTTCATCATGGAATGGGAAGACCAAGATAATTTTCCATTGTAGTCAAAATACACCAGAAGGCGGACATAATTTAAAAATTCCAAGCTTGAAGTTCATTTCAACCTTCTGGCTTACAGGTCTGGTGGTATATAAAACCCCTTCATGACCCTTCAGCTTTAGTAGATTATTTCTGCCCCCACCCTTTAATTTCCTTAACCTTTCCAATCTATTTTAAGAGGTATTGGCTGTTTACTGTCCCACATCTTATACTCAGTATTTCAGGCTTAGATAAATAGACACCAAGTAATCTGGGACAATCCTGGAATATAATAGCCTAGCTTGCAAACACTGAACAAATTTTAGACTCAAAAATTCATACCATTCATAAAGCCAGATGACACGCTCTCTCTCTCAATAAAGAGACATTTTTTAATAGCAACCCTAATAGGTTTGCAAGGCTGTGACTTCTAATGCTCTAAGGGTAACGTTTGAGACAGGCCTGAAGTACGACGCAATTTTTTTTTTTTTTTTCTACTTCAGAGACTCACAAGCCTGAAGGCCTTGAACTTTCTTGTTGTATGGAGAGGCGACTTTCAAAATTAGGCAGGAAACACTTTAGGCAGCAATATTAAGATAGATCTGAATGAGAAGCTGAGGATAATCAGTGTTTGGCAACATGCTGAAGAGAAAGCCAAAAAGCAGCAGACCTACACCAAAACATACCGCATCACATTTCTTCTTTTCCCCTCACACCCCAAAATGCCCCCAAACCCTATTTAATAAGCTATTGGTAGAAATTTCTGATGTAAAGCTATCAACCCAAAACTCTCTTGGGTAACATCATGTTTAAAGATGACTGGATAATAGACAACACAAATTTTTCAGTGAGGGTAAAACACAGCTGATAAAAGTAAACGCAATTTGGGTGACTTTTTTTTTTTTAAGATATCCAGGTATATAAATTTTTTTATAGGTAC